CAACTTCAACTTCCTCCCCTCTCCAGTCTATATAAACTCACGTATATATATATATTTCCCCACTTCTTTCTTCCAGTCTCATAAAAGTTTTCTCTCTCTCTCCATTCCAGGCCAGTCCTTCCCTATGTCCTTGACCCCACCTCTTCCCACTTCTTCTGGACTTTATCAGTTATTCCATTTAGTAACTTCAATCCCTCTTCTTCCTGGCCTCCCTCTCCTCACCCATAAACTTGCTCAGACATCTAAGAAAATTCCCCCTATGGGACCTAGCATTCACCTTTCCAGCCCCCACTCAATCATTACTTCCTCCCATCTGAGCTTCTTGAAAGAATGGTCCCCACCTCTTACCTCCTCTCCCATTCTTGTCTCAATAGACGACAGAGTCCTACCCCGATATGCTACTTCAACTGCTTTCAACAAGCTCACCATTATGTTCCCAAATGCTACATGTTTCCAGTACTTAGATACTGAAATTCCATGCTGCATTTGATTGAAACTCTACTGCGGTGGTTTCCTGGACATGGTTCTGCCCTCAGCACTCTACCAATTCTCTTATCCACTCTCCTAGTTTCAAATGACCACCTCTTATAACGGAAAATCTTTGTATCTAGTATCTTAGTTGTTTTGGCATCTAGATGGGAGGGGGAAAGTATAGCCACATTACCTTGTACAATTCTTTCTGTATGAACTATCTACGTATCTGTCTTCTCATTAGATTCTTAGCTACCTGAAGGCAAAAACTGTTCTGTTCACCCTTATTTTTTTCAGCTCCTAACATAGCCTGCCACCCACCATAGACTTGCAACAAGTAACTGCTGAGCAAATTACCCTTTATAACCTTTACTTCACAGAGGTCCAAGCAGTTTCTGTAGATGTTTCCAAATGTTTCTAGAAATAAGTAAAACACTGTACAGAGCATTCTAGATGTTCAGAGAAGGGAACTGTCATTTTGGGCTGGGTAAGACTTTGTGAAGGTGATTGAACTTAAGCCAGAAATAGTAAGTCCAGAGGTGGGAACGGGCAGGGAAGAGTACTAGCGCTTGACTCCCAGGCCCAAGACTGGCGGGCAGCAACTGGAGTGCCTTTGTTGAAACATCAAGTTTGGATAAGGAAAGAGTAGTAGATAAACTTCAAATGCTAGGTAGGAAATATAAATGTGGAGGGTCTGAAAGCTAAGCTGAGGAGTTCTGACTTTATTCTATGGGCACGTAGGAGTCTCTATTTAACAGGGTGCTCAATGATCTTAAATAAACCTTGTGGCAGAAAGTCTGCTGGATTGTAGCCAGGATACATGGGAGGGGAGGAGACCAGTGGGACACTCTGATGAACAAAATGAGAGCCTGATGCAGGGTGGTTGCACTGAAAACTACCCTATGGTACTTGACAAATTTCATCAAATATATATTTGTGTGTGTGCATGCATATGCATGTTTTAACATCTTTGAAACTGAAATACATCCTAGGGTTAATCGCATGTCTTAATGGCAGCATATCTTCTTTCTTAAAAACATGTAAAATAATGGTGTATCTTAAAGTTGATATTGCCCTAGATTCAATGAGTATGATATCTGGATGTGAATAAGAAATCCAGAATTCAAAGGTAAAGTTTTAAACTTGGGTGACTGGAGAACTCTTATTCCTAATAAAGAAGGAAGGGTGTTTGTTTCTTTGACCCCTGGATAGGAGTCTAACCAAATCTTCCATTTGAGAAATGACCCATGGACAATGTTGCGGCTCACTTTTCCCCATCTGAACTAATGAATAATTAAAAATAAGAGGAAGTACTTATTAATGACAACTTTAATATGAACATGTGTTTGACCCTCAAGAAACATTCATAACTTAAAGGGAAGAGCGGGTTGCCATGGAGAGGAGTACATGATGCTTAGGGACGGATGGCATGCAGTTTCTGGATCCGGCTGATGCTCAAATACATCAAGGCAACTGATAACCTTAGTCATTTGAACAATCGGTACTTCTTCAAATACTGGTTCACTTCTTCCTTGGGGTAGGGACGGAGCGCAATGCAAGTGGCGATATTCTCAGGCTGCTCCAGCCAAAGCACATGGTCAATGTTCTTCTGCTGCAGAGTCTCAGCCAGCTCCTTTAGGGTGCTTTCATCTGCAGCCTACCAGGAGCAGAGCACAGGACACAGACTGAATGGCCCACTTAGGAAGTGTCAGAAGGTAATGAATAAAAGTGTGGAGGGGGTTCCTCTTGACTCAAAGTGGAGGAACAGCTCTCTCAATGAAGGAGCTGTAGAGCACGTCTCCAGAAGCATCAGCTTCACCGCCCCATTTGCATTCACTCTCTGTAGGACCTTAGATAAGCGGCCTGTGGGTAGGAGAGGGAGAGGCGTAATCTGCCCACTTCTAAAATGGAGATGATTTTTCTCTTCCCTCTTGAGATGCTGTATGCATTGTCCATAATTGTGCTCTCTACATTTTCTACTTCTCTTATGTCCCAATCCTTCAGCCAGCTCTGACTTAATTAAGAGTTGAGTAGGAAAGGATTTCTAACAACACATCACCTCCATCTCCATCCTTCCCTCCCGCCCAATCCCACCCAAACCTGAAGGGTTTTCCTTCTGCTGGGAGAGTTCCCGCTTGTTAGCTCAGCGGGCTCCGCAGGCAAACCATTCTCTCACATCCTTCTCCCACTGTTTCTCCTCATCCTTATCACCATGCTGACTCCCATTAACAAGAAGTATTGAAGCTAGCACTCAGAAAATAATGATAATTAGTGTGTTATTTGGCATAGGTATTCTTTTTTTTTTTTTGCGTAGAAAGGCAGAAGCCACTAAGATAACTAGAGCTATGTCTTATCAAATTAGAGGATGCTGAGATTGTCACTCTTTATCTAGAGCCCTCTGGGCACAGCCATGCTGGAGAACTCATGGACTTCCCCTCCCCGCTCCTTCTTCAGCACCAGACAGCAGCATAGGACAGTGAGTCCAAACTCTCGCTCTGCCCCTGATTGTGTTTTGTGTGTGTGTGTGTGTGTGTGTGTTAAGTAGGCTCCACACCCAGTATGGAGCTCAACTCGGGGCCAAACTCACAACCCCGAGATCAAGACCTGAGCTGAGATCAAGAGTCAGACACTTAACCAACCGAGCCACCCAGGGGCCCCAGGGATTGGACTGTGGGATCTTTGAGGAGTTAATGTGACTTAGCTGGGACTTTCTTTCCCTTTTGTAAAACAGGGATGATAACGCTTCTTAGCAGCAGTGACGATTCAATGACATTAGGCTCAGACTAGTGCCTGGCACATAGTAAGCACCCAATAAGTGGAGTTAGCCTTGGCATGGTCTTATATTTTATTGGTCTTTATGGCTCCAGCACCACCTTAATTTAATCAGGAGTGACTCTTTGATCCCCTTCTTGAGTTACGGCTAACAGCTAGGAATCATCAGATGTCTTTCAGACTTAGGGGTCTCACCTAATCTCTGTGGGCTTCAGACCTCTTATCTGAGAAAGGGGGTAAATAAATATACTATCTGCCTGAATGTGAGGGAGGGGGGATATCTGAACCAGATGATTTCTTGAGCCCTTCTTCCTATAAAAAGAGTATAAATAAAAAGCTATTTGCTTCTTTTCTGTCTACTCAGATTCTCAAAACATTTCGCCACAGGTTATTGCCTGATGTTTTACTACCCAACAGAAGTTCTTCTCTTGACAGAGAATCTGCTTGTGCCAGCTAGCCATAAGGGTATTACCCCACTCCGGGATTCTAGTGTGTTTAAAATAAATTTTATAGTGTAAAGTAAAATATATGCTTAATGTAGAAAACTAGAAAGACTAGAGAAGCATTAGGAACTAACCAAAATCCCACCACGTGCTTAATATTTGGATTTATTTCCTTAGTTTTTCCTTCCAAAATCTGAATCATTTTGTATAGAATACAGTTCAGTTAGCATCACATAATGAGCACTCTTACAGGCCAACTAAATATGCTCCAAAACCATGATTTATGCTAGCTTTATAATAGCACATTTTATAGGCATAAAATGAACCAATCGCTGGTGTTGGAAATTTACTAATTTCCACATTTTTTACTATTATAAAGTGCTCCTATGAATATTCTTGTACTATACAATGCTCTTTGGTGCATCTGATTATCTTCCTAGGATACATTTCCAGCAGCAGAACTGACAAAGGGAAAAGGTAAGGGTAAGATCTGTTTGGCCATCTGCAAAAAGAACCTGACCTCTTATTTTACACCGGTGGTGTCTGGTATTTATGATGCTAGGTTCAACTTATATTAGGTACACATTTACTTTAAAATAATTAGGCGTCGTATTCCGGTAATGCTTCAGTTTTACTTCACTTGCAATAGGGAACCCCGTGTTCTTATCCCTTCCGAATCGGTTTTTCGGGGAGGGCGCGGGACAGCACCTTTGGGCGTCGCAATAAAAGGCCGACCCAGTGCACAGGTAGAAGGGCAGGGCCTGGTTCCACCGGCCTCCGCCCTCACAGGCACCTCCTAAGAGCGACGCGGGTGAGAGCGGACGGGTGCGGGAGGCATTAATAACCCGCCCGACGTCCGCTCTTCACACAGCCAGACCCCGTCCAACCAAGGCAAGGCTCCGGGAGCAATAGCGGAAGCCCCTGAGCCCTTCCCAAAGCTTAGATGTAAACGACTCCTCCCCACTACCGCCGTACCCACGCTACGAAGTTAAATCTGGGCCTCGGTACCACACCCACTTCCGGTCTCGACGGCCTCGGCACCCCTCCCCCTCCGCCGGATGCCTCACCTCGAGGACCACCTTGCGCATGCGCCCCAGGTCTTGGAGGTAAGCGGCCGTGTGCGGGTGGTCGCGGTGAATGTGCAAGGCCGAGGTGGCTGCATGGCAGGCCTGCGCTACCAGTGCGCCCGCTGGCCAGGAGAATGGAGCCTGCGATAGATCCTTTCGTAACACCAAGTATTGGACTAAGATCTGCGGCTCCGCGCCAGAGGCCGCCATCTTCCGGGCCCACCGAAAGGCCACACCTACTCCCCGGTGCATGCCGGGATGAGGGAGGGGCCCTGAGCGCAGCCATGTTTTTGTACGGCGGGGGCGCAAAGCACTCTGGGTCCGATTGGTTTGATTTTTTTTTGAAGGCTTGGACGGCGGGAACTCTCGTCCTCGTCCTGGGTGAGCGAGAGGAGCGGAGGTAAGGGGAACATAAGACCCGGTGACGGAGGGGCGGTGACCAGAGTGGAAGGCTGAACGGCCTCTTACAAAGCCGTGTTCTGGGGCGCGCTCAGGGGCAGGTAGACGGGGACACCGCCAGCCGGGACCGGGAACGGGAGGGGCGGGTCAGGGTGCCGGGGGCCGGCGGTGCGTGCCCGAGTTGTGCGCGTCCTGCCGTGAATAGGTGTGACTTTCTTGCCTTTTTACTTTTACCAGCAAGGAAATCTGGGTCCCTATTGCCGCTTTGCTGCCCAACTTCATAGGAGGGCCTGTGGAAGTCTGAGGATGGAGTGGGCGAATGACGGCAAGTCCGAAGGAGGTATTCACAGGCTCGCCCTTTCGCCCTTATTACTGCTGCCACGACGACGCCTAGTTAAACGAGCCCTTTCCTCCTCTGACGGATGTGTGACCTCGCCTGTTTGGGAGCATTGTGGTGAAAGGAACCAACTGCAGACTGAAAGGGACAGGCAGCTAAGATCATTCATTGCACAAGGAAATTACTTCAAACATTTCTAGGCTCCGGCCCCTTTTTAAACCGAGAGGTCGCGTTCCTAATATGCCCAGTGTTTATATTCAGAGCTACAGTTCTAGCCAGTGGGGTCTCTTTCCAGGATTTGTTGGGGTCACTTAGGCATTACACTTGTGGAAGGGTCGGTGCCAGGCAGTGACTTTGGTGTTGGTTAGACCTAGGTTTGAGTCTTGGCTCTGCCATTAGAAATATCGTGGCCTTAGGCAAGTTATTTTACCTTTCTCTGCCTTAATTTCTTCATCTGGAAAGTGGAGGCAAAGAATAGCCTTAAGGTGGTGGTTGTGGAGATTAGATAAGTATTTAAGTCTCTTCAAGCACATGCTTTAATTCTTTACATGGTTTGCAAGTAAAGCATGTAGCACAAGTGTCTTAATATGTAGGAAATGTTCAGCAAATGCCTTATTGTTAGACTTGATTGGCATTTTGAAACTGTGACCTCTCCTGTATTGGTCCTTAATCTCTTGGGAAATGAGATTTGCCTCTGAATTTCTGTCCAACCATGAACTTGTTTTCCTTTCTAATACCCAGTCTTATTGGTAGGCAGTTCCCTCTAGTGTGTATCTTTATAGTCCTGTGTGAATAATACTTTTCAGAGCTTCAAAGTACTTAATTTAAGTCTCTCTGGATGTCTAAATTAGTGCATTAGCACTTTGGGAAAACATGTATAAAAGCTAATTTAAAAAATAATTCTACATTTAAAAAAAAAAGTTTCTGAGAGTCTGAATTTGGTGACCCCGTTTTCCCCTGAGTCCTTATTATCATGGGTAACTGAGATGAGTTATATTCAGAAAATGCTCTCTTTGGACAGTGTCCTGGTCAGGGACTGCTTGTACATTAGTGCTGAGCCTTTGAGGTTGCTTATCATGGATTTCTGTTGTCACCTCCTCTGGTTTTATAAATTGTAGCCAATGTCTAACATGTTAGCTGACCAAAGTTCTGAAAAAAGAGTCACCCTCTGTCCCCCCCTGAAATGCTCCCTGTTGCCAGAGTTAGAAATCCCTGGCTTCTTGTGAAATTGCCTTTTTACTTTCCTCAGGTGTTTTAGCTCACTTGGAAAGACTAGAGATTCAAGTGAAGAGATCCCGTAAAAACGTAGAAGATCCGCAGAGAGCACAGGCAGTTGAAAGCGCTCTTGGGACCAAGATTCATAAACTGCGGTGTCTGCGGGATGAGCTGAGAGCTGAAGTGAAGCAGCATCAAGCCAGAGTGAGTGCAAGGGTGACCTTAGCAGGTTTTCCCGGAGTGAAAAGAGCAAGCAAGATCTGGGAATTAGCAGATTTGTATACTGGGTTTCACCTGTGATCTCACTGGATTGATTGCAGCCCTTGACCTCTCAAGTGATCAGTCCTGTAGAATCAACTAATACTAGTATGAACCAATAATTGCCAGACGTTCCTGATAGACCAGGCGGGTTCTTTGTAATAGTCTCTTAGCCCGAACTCGGAGACATGAGCCTGTTACTTCCGTCTCAGCCCGACTTGAGTCATTGGCACTTTTGTCATTAGCGCCGTCGTCCCTTTACCCACGCTTGAACCCACACAGTGAACTTTCATTCTTGCCTCTTTCCAGTTTTCTCTCAAGCCCGGGGTCCATCAGCAAGACATGTCAAATTTTCCTTTAGATTGTCTTTGTACTTCAAGTATTTGGATGCCAGGATTATTGCAGTAGTCTGCTAGTTGTTTCTCTTTCTGTACATCTACTTCTCCAATAACTCCTGCATGGCCAAGAAGATGCTTCATAAAACACTGCGTCATTGAACTTCACGTAAATGTAAAAAGTATAAACTCTTTCATGTCTGACTTTTTTTTGCTGAATGTTCTGTCTGTGAGATTCATCCAAACTGGTGTATATAGTGGTCATTCTTTTTTATTGCTGCATAGTAATTTCATTTTATGAATAGTCCACAATTTACTTACTGAATTATACTGTTGGTGACATTTGGGTTGTTTGGGTTGTTTCACTTTGGGGCTGTGAAACTGTTGTTCCTGTCTTTTGATGTAAAAATATGTACTTTTCTATTGGGTGTATACCTTGTAGAATTGCTAGGTCACAGGGTAGGTATGTTATCATTAGTAAATACTGCCAAATAGTATCTGGAAGTGATTATACCAATTTTACATTCCCAGCACCAGTGTATGAGATTTCCATTGTTTTGCATCTTTACCAGTACTTGATATTGTCAGTTTAAAAAAATTGTCACTCGGGTGGGAGTGTCATAGTATCTCATGGTGGAATAATTTGCAATTGCCTTACAACTAATGCTGTTAAGTACTTGTCCAATACAAGTCTTCTGTTGTGAAATAAGCTTTTCAAGAAGGCTTCTGCAAAAATTTTATTGCATTGTCTATCTCTTACTGAATTGTAGAATCTTTACATATTTTGGGTATGAATTCTTTGTTTGGGATATGTATTATGAATTTTCTCTTAGCCTGTGGCTTGCCTTTTCACTCTCTAATGGTATCTTGTGATGAAAAGATAGTCTTCATTTAAATGAAGTTTGATTTAGGAATCTAACTTTTTACTTACTGCTCTTGTTTTCTTTTAATAAATTTTTGCCTAACTTAAGATGATGATGTTCTGTGGTATCTTCTAAAAGCTCTATGGTACTTTTTACTTTCAGAATTACAGTCCATCTGGAATTGATTTTTGTGTATGGTATGAAATAGAGGTCATATTTTTTTTGTTTTTCCATATGGATACCCACTGCATCCAGTACCACTTTCTGAAGTCCATTCTTTTCCCATTGTATTGTAATGGATCTTTGGGTCCACTGTGGGCCTGTTTCTGACTTCTGTTCCATTGGTCTGTCTGTCTTTGTCCTAGTACCAGAGGTTCATTTACTGCTAAGTGTTGACACCTGTCATATATGTCGTCTTCTTCAGAATTATCTTGGGCTCTTCTTGGCCCCTTGAATTTTACATAAATTTGGGAATCAGCCGTCAGTTTCCAAAAACAAACCTATAGATTTGATTGGGATTGCATTGAATCTATACACATAATTTGGGGAGTATTGAAGTATTTTCAGTATTGCATCTTCCAGGCAGTGTACATGATCTATCTTTCCATTTATTTAGTTCTTCAATTTCTCTCAGCAGTGTATATAGTTTTATGTGTAGAGGGCTTAAATCATTCATTATATTTATCTTTATGTATTTGATTTTTCCTGGTATTACTGTATATGGCAGGGGTCAGCAGACTTTTCCCGTGTAAGGCCAGATCATCAGTATATTAGGCTTTGTGAGCCAGATGGTCTCTGTGGCCGCTACTCAGCTCTGCTGTTGTATTGTGAAGCAACACAAACAACATGTAAATTAATGGGTGTGTTCCAGTAAAACCTTGTCTATAAAAATAAGTGTAGAGTTAGGTTTGACCCATGAGCCTTATCTCGGTGAACCCTGATACATGGTATTATTTTTTAGAAATTTGATTTTCAAATTGTCATGTACAAATATATTTGATTTTTGTATATTGACTTTATATATCACAACTTTGCTAAATCCACATTAATTCTGTTTATCTCTCTATTCTTTTGGGATTTCTACATTTGGAATCATGTCATATGCATACAATAACAGTTTTGCTTCTTTTCAATCCTTGTAGCTTGTTTTTCTTGCCTTATTTTATTAGCTGAGATCTTCAGTATATTGTTGAGTAGAAATAGTCTTAGGGTCAACCTGTTTGCTCTAAATTTTGTATAGATACTCTTAGCAGATTAAGGAAATACTCTTCTATGTCTAGTTTGCTAGAGTTTTAATTGTGATCAGGTATTGAATTTTACTAAATGTTTTTACTGCATAAATTAAGGTGGTCATCTGGCTTTTCTTCTTTGATTAATGTAGTGATACATATTGATTGGTGTTTGAGTGATAATGACTTACATTATTTTACAGGTTAAAGCATCTACTGTCAATGTAGAACCTGACCAAACACTGGAAATCAGTGAGGAAGAAGTTGCGGAAAGAAGAAAGGAAAATGTGAAAGCCATTCTGCAGGCATATCGTTTTACAGGTATAATTTATTTTCTGACCTGTTCCAGTCTGAGTCTCTTGTCTCTAGTGAGTTGGTTTGCTAGATATATTATTAGTCCTGGACTTATTTCATGAGCATGGGTTTTTGCCTTCCTCAGCATACACACACAGAGCTGGCATACTATTTGTAGGCATCTTGACCTACAAAATTGGCCTCTTTTTGCAGAAGATTGATTGGTGGCCGGCTTAGATTATTCATTTTAGCTATTCAGTGTGTTTCAGAAATTGTACTAGAACTGCCTTTGCTACTGGCTGGCTCGATGCCACTGGTCAAATAGTTTGAACCCGTTAAGTCTCTGTTTCCCCATTAAAAGGGATTTATCCTGCCCATTATCTGTGGCATAGAGGATTGTGGAAGGAAATGGACTATTGTACATTAGTTGACACTCAGAGGAAAGTAAGAGGTAAAATGAAAATTTCAAAATCTCTTCTTCGATAATTTGGTATTAGGATGTTTTATTTTTTCCACCAACCATCTTCTATGGTTTTAACAACTCAAATTCAAAGTGAGCCAGAGTGAGTGAGAAGAGTCTATGATGTTCCTTCAACACACGTTTGAACACATACTGTATGTACGAGGCAGTGAAGCGAATGGCATACGCAGCTGAAGAACATACTCCCTTTGCTGACGTGTGTTGAGAGGTTTCATCTTGTTTGCTTCAGGGCTCAGTGGGAAACTGACCAGCCGAGGGGTCTGTGTGTGCATCAGCACTGCTTTTGAAGGAAATCTGCTGGATTCCTATTTTATCGACCTTGTCATACAAAAGCCACTTCGGATACATCACCATTCAATTCCAGTCTTCATTCCCCTAGAGGAGATATCTGCAAAATACTTACAGACTAATATTCAGCACTTCCTGTTCTGTCTTTGTGAATACCTAAACGCTTATGCTGGGAGGAAGTACCAGGCAGATCGACTTCAGGTATTTTGTCTGGGATTTTTTTTTTTTTTAATAGATTTTATTTATTTATTTGACAGAAAACACAAGCAGGGGGACCGGCAGAGGGAGAAGCAGACTTCCTGCTGAGCAGGGAGCCCGATGTGGGGCTCGATCCCAGGATGCTGGGATCAAGACCTGAGCCGAAGGCAGACACTTTACTGCCTGAGCCACCCAGGCGCCTCTGTCTGGGATCTTATATAGCATATTTTATGAGCCCAGAATAGGCTTAAAAAGGGAAAAGGGGGGGTGGGCAGGCAAGTTTTCTTTTGTATTTTAAAATGTTTTCTACTTCTGAGCCAGAAGTTTGACCATTATCCTTCTGATGCATGTTTCTTATTTATATACAAGCTATTTTCCACCTTCTTCCCCTGTTGAAACTCTGGATGCTGTTGAAGCATGGATACTGGTTAAGGGATTATTTACTCCTTGATGGTGGTCCTCAGGCTTTTATACTTGACCCTTTCTTCTCTTCACAAAGTAGTACAGTCACCTCTCATTTTATTGTACTTCTCTTTATTGTGCTTCGCAGATACTGTGTTTTTTTCTACAGATTGAAGGTTTGTGGCAACTCTGTGTTAAGCAAGCCTTTCAGTGCCATTTTTCCAACAGTATTTGCTCACTTTGTGTCTCTGTGTCACATTTTGGTAATTCTTGGAATATTGCCAAATTTTTCATTATTTGTTATTGTGATCTGGTTATTGATTACGACTCACTAAAAGTTCAAATGATGGTTAGCATTTTTTAGCAAAATATTTTTTTAGCAATGAAGTATTTTTAAATTAAAACATGTACATTAGTTTTTTAGACATAATGTTATCGCATACTTGATAGACTGCAGTGTAGCGTAACATAACTGTCCTGGGAAACCAAAAAATTCATTTGACTCTATTGCAGTGGTCTGGAACTGAACCCACAGTATCTCCAATGTATGCTTGTGTAGTTTCTATGCTTTTAATTCACAGGGATTTATAGAGTACCTACTGTGTGCCAAGTGCCTTGCTAAACCTTAGGTATAGAAGCAAAGCAGAAGAATACATAGGGGAATACGATCTATCTGTCTAAACTCTGGCCTTCCTTTTTGGGGTTGCAGTGGAGCTAGGGTTGGGCTAAAACAAATTTTTTTAAGTAGACGGGAAATGAATGCAGGTAAGGAATATGTGACTTTTATAAGCTTGGTGTCCTGTTCCCCCCCCGCCCCGCCCCCATGCGTTTAGAACACCTCTGAAGTTCTTGGTTGTCAGTTAGACTGACACGAGAGTGCAGACACAAAGCATCTTAGCCAGCTCTACCAAGACAGTGCATCTCCCTCATGCCCCGACCATTTATTTAGTGCTTTCCGCAGGCCTTTCTAGGGTGCCGCCAACTCTTAGTTATAATCTTATAAATCTTTATCATTAGTCCTTTTTACAGGCTTTTCTCTGCCCTTTATTTCTCTGAAATTTGATGCACAGGCCCTGTTTTTGTAGATGTGTTTGAAGTGTCACAACCACTCGCTGCCTTTGGAACTGTAATCATCATATATTTGGTGTCTGTTTTGATCCCCACCCTCCTCAGAGTGACTTTGCAGCCTTTCTGGCTGGGCCCTTGCGGAGAAACTCACTGTGCAACTTGCTGTCGTTTACTTACAAAGTGGAGCCACGGGGCCAGTCGTTCCCATTTTGTGCCAGGCTGCTGTATAAGGACCTCACGACAGCCCTGCCAACTGACGTCACCGTTACGTACCAGGGTGAGGACGGGTGCCTTGACGGAGAAATGATAATGTGCTCTGTGTGATTCAGGTTGAATGAGACAGGGTAAAATAGGTAGACTGTATCAGTGGGACCTCCGGAGACCCATTCTTCTGTTAATCTACTAGAAATGTACTCAGTAAAATACAAAGAATATTTTCCTTCTACCATTTTTCCTCTCCTCTTTGTAAGTAGTAAACATAATTACCCTAGTTCCCACCTCCTTTGCTCCATCTGACTCTGCCAGTGTTCCTTCAGTCGATGATTTGTTGTCATTGGAGACCCCTCTTGAGGAGAGACCGCTAATGAGGCTGAGTCGTAGGGTCACTTGTAGTGAAGAGAGGCAAAAGACTCATTTCAGTAAGAAGCCAATTAGACAAGTAAGTATACACTTAGCTCTCTAGAGCCTCTTCTGTGTACGGGAGTTTTTTAGGACTGGCTGAGAGAGATCGTGTTATTGTTTTAGTTAAATGTACCATAGTAAGGTGACATGGGCAATAATGAAAAATAGGATCGAATATTTTTAGGAGGTGGAAGTTTTGAAGCTGCCGCAGATTTCACACCATAGGTTTTAGACTTCTGGGCAGAGTGTGTTCGGGTCTCGAAATTTCACTGGTCCAGTAAAGGGCAGTCTCAGCTCCAGACCAGAAAAAAAAAAAAGAAAGGTTACATGGGTCCAGAACATCAGTGATCTGGGTTCTGATTCCCCCAGTTGCACTAAATGAGATTGATATAATCTGTTTTAGGAATGGATGCATTATCCCCTGCCTGGGAAGAACAGCGAGCATCCCATGAAAATCTGTTTTTTTCAAAGCCCCTACATCAAGTGTTTACTTCATTTGCAAGAAAAGGAGAAAAGTTGGATATGAGCCTGGTCTCCTAGAATATTTTCATTGGGAATACGTCAGAAGTGAGTAAAATAATTCTATGCACAGTCCCAGGCTAGGTCCTGGCAACTGAATACTGTTGAAAGGCTCAGACCCCTTGCCTGGGGCCCGTCCTTGCAGTGAGAACGGTTACATACCTCATCAGGGTGGTAAGGGGCAAGTCTGGACAGTTGAGGTATTGATTTGATCACATGTTTTAGCTGAAAATCAGAAGGGATGATGGGGCAGAAGGCATTTTGTGAAAGAGGGAGTATGTACCTTTTAACGAAAGAGTATTCCTGATTTTTATGACAGCTTTAAGTAATTCTGCCTCATTTTCCTGAGACTTTTGAAAAGAAAGTTCTTAGAACACTCCAGGTTCCTGATATGACAGGAATAACACGGTTAAGGAAAGTGTGTTTGATCTTTAGTTTGAAGCAGTATGTTCTAGGCTACGGTTTTATAAAGAATACAGTGTAAGTACTGTGGATAATCAGGCTCTATGTAGCTAATACTTTGTTTTCTAAACATGTTTGTAGAGAGTTGAATGTATTAAGTCAGCTATAAAAAAGCATGATCAGAAGTCTACTCAAACTCAGTGGTTGTAAAGGGCAGCAGATCCCCCCTCACCTCACTGCTGCAGGCCCTCAGCCACAGTTCCGCAGCTGTCTCCCCCCATCTCCTGGTCTTAGTAGTGGGTCATTTCTCCTTATATTATAACCCTGGTCTCAGCCTTGCTGACAGCGTTCTGTTATAGGGATGGTGCCCAGATGTGAAAGCCTGTGTCTGGTGCCTGTCCCTGCTTTGCCCAGTCACAAATAGGAGTCCTTCCTGCCCTGGGCCCAGAGCTGCATCCAGGCCCTAACACAGTCAGTCACTTCCTGGACCGGATGACCCAGCCTACATGTGTGGGCACCCAGGGGACAGATAGAGTCCACTTGTACCACCATTTAGAAGAAAGCTTGAGAATAATCAGACGTCTTAGTTCAGGCCCTTGCCTTGCAGGCACGTGGTAAGGATGCGTGGTGTGAGTTAGCAGAGTACCGAACCGAAGTTTCACAATGAGCACATTCAAGTTGAATAAAGCTTTTAATAAAACAGTCTTGTTCTTTATCAATACCTGTAAATTCTCTTTTAAAGCAGCAGCAAAGGCGACTGTAGCAAGAGCTCAAGAGGCAAGGCAATATTGGAAAGTGGTTTTTTTTAACAGAAAGTTAAAAATATAAATGTAGAAGATCTGTTTATATATTTTTCTCTCAGAAATAAATTCCCTTTCCCTCCCTCCCACCAGGTAAAAGGAAATATTGCACTTTCTGCTCTCATGACTAAGGTGGCAGGGGTTCCAGAAGAACCTTTCAAGATTATCAGGAACATCAGCATGAGGGCCAGTTCACCTAACCCGGACCACATGGAGACGAGCAGGTCTCCAGCTTGAAAGACTGCTTCAGGTGAGCGCTGGGGAGCAGAACACTTGCCTGCTCAGCTGTCAAGTCCTGCCGAGTCCTCGTCTGAAGCCCAGCTCTCCCATCTGTGCTCCCAGCCCAGAAGCAAAGGCAGCTTTGTTCCACCTTGGACACATTTCCTGCTCACAGTGGCCGTGGCCTCTCTGGGGGAAGGAGGGCTGGTCAGACCCAGAGCCCTGGAAGGATTGTTCCAGTACTACACCTAAGACCCCTACTCTCTGAGGAAGCTACAGGCACACTGAGGAATAGTATGGCCGCCCTCAGAGCTCACGTATCCATGAACAAATGAAGACTTGAGGAGATTTTTAAACCTAAAGTCTATGTGAGTGTGCACTTCAATTTGGGAATGCTGGGACTTGGTCATGTGTCCTTTCCCAAGGCCTTTCTGTGATTCCAAAAAATGGGTTCTCCCTTCCCATTTGGACTGTGGTGGGGCTGGAGGCCATTCAGGAGTTGTCCACCACCTGGTGGGGCAGGGTGACCGAGGAGCCGTTAGGGAAGGCAGCTGGCTTCTCACGCCCCTTCAGGAAAAAGGTTAGCAGTTCCCCCTTCCCTTTCACAAAGATGGGCCCTCGCCTCACAAAGCGGAAGCCGTACTCTCGGAGGATGGCTTGTGTTTCTTCCACCACCTGTAGAGGGGGAACATCGCGTGAGCTCCGAGCAGGGCAGCAGGTCCCAGAGAGCCGGCCCCGTCTGCGCACCAGCGGGCACAGCCGGAGCGCTCGCCACAGTGCTTGCTGTCCCTGGAGGACGGCCTCAGGTTGCCTGCGGCAGCATCACTCCCTCTTCCTTTGTCCCCTCTCCCCGCTTTGTGGCGCTTTCCTGCCAGACCCAGCTGGCCCGGCTTGGGGAGACTCCAGGGGGGATTGTTGGAGGCACGAGATCAGAAAGTTCATACCAAAAGGCAGGATAGTCTTACCAAGAAGTTAAGCCTAAATTTCGGAAAGGGGAGTGAAGTATTTCCTCCCTTCCCCTGGGGCAGCTCTTGCCACCCTTGCCTGCAGTCTCCCAGAACCACCCCCTCGACACTCCGGGCTGACAGAAAGGCGGCAGAAGGGCACGGCGACACGCCCTCATCCGCTTTTGTTCCCGGCCCCCGGGCCTGAGCTCACGCTCTGCTCTGCTGCTGGACATACCTGAATGTTGCCCATGACCCCTGTGGACTCCATCCTGCTGGCCACATTGACCGTATTGCCCCAGATGTCATAGTGTGGTTTCCGGGCTCCAATGACCCCAGCCAGGACCCCTCCTTTGTTCATGCCTGGTGGAGGGACATAAAATGGAGCACAGCCACGAGCCATATTTTGTCCCCTTCACTGTGCCATCTCAGAAGCCACCAGCCCCTCTCCCAGAGAATCCACCACCTGGCCCCAACCACAGAGCTCCTGAGTCTGCCAACCTACTCCTCATGAAGCTGGTCCTGAAGCCACCAGGGGGCAGATGCGTCCCCTGTTTATCCTGTCCTGGCCCGTACGCTAACTAATTCATGCAGTATGGAAGCTGCCAGCTTCACACCTGTCTGGTACTTGAGGTGAGCTCCTCCAGAAGTGAGAATCCCACCTCCACCCCCCACAGTGGGGACAGCAGGGGACATTAACAGGCTGGACCGAGGCAGCAAAGCTCTCCGCAGGCGTGCAGGACCGCCTGGGGAGGTGGACAGCCTGCCTTCGCGGCCACACTCAGAAGTCAGGCTAATCGCGGCGAACGGTGTGGGACACACACAGCTGGCCCTCATTTCACCAGATGCGCCGTCCGATGACCGGGAAGAGATCCCTAAGGTCCCAGAGCCGTGCCTGTGTGACCCTCCCCACCCTAAATGCCTCCAGGGCTAAGTCTCGCCCTTCCTGCTGATGTGCCGAGTCCCTCGCATCAGGGAGCGCGGCAGGGAGCACCCAGGCCCGAGAACTCTTACCGATGCGCAGCATGAAGTTGTTGAAGGACTGGTTGTTGATGTTTGTGAGCGTATCCTTCATGGCCAGGGCAAAGTCGGCCAGATCGGCCAGGTGCTGCCAGCGCTCCTTGTCTGACTTCTCCTCCTGGGCCGGGGAGCAGCGGCGAGGGCGTCAGGAGCCTGTACGGGCCCCTCGCTCCCCGTCACGGCGTTCTGCAGGTGAATTCCTGCACCGCGTCGTCCGAGGCCTTATTCTCCACTTCCCACAGACGAGTCCGTGACCTCGACCTCGGCTTGTCACTGACCGCTCCCCTGCATCCCTTAGGGCCCGCAGGTGGGGAAGAGCGGTCCGGGCCAGCTACATCGCTTCCTGTCTGCCATCATCCCCGCACCTGAACCTGCGCTCTGAATTTGGGATAGTTCTCACTTGCATTCCTTAACTAGATTATAAGCCCTTGGAGGTTATGACCCATCTTAGACACATTTCTTTAGCCTCATCCATAAAATGGAGATGGTAGTAGTACTTATATAGGACAGTTGTAAGATAAAATAGGATGAGAACAGTCTAAGAACAGCTGTTAGGACCAGGGCGCCCACAGCTCATTTCCTCTCATAAACAGCTAGCTCCACAGGTCTGATATAACAAACAACAGGCTGACGCCAGCCAGTGAGCTCCGAAGACCCCTTTCCTATCAGAACTACTCCCAACCTGGATGTTTTCATTGTTACGTAATTGCTCGATGGTCGCCACTCCCCAGTTCTTTCAAAAGTCTAGAGCATGAAGGAAGCATTGCCACGATTAGAGCAGTTATGTCTGGCCTAAGCTGTGCACCAGTGGGGGGGTTGTGTAGGCTATTCTTTCTCTGCTTGTGAAACTTGGCCAGTAAATAGGATTTTAAATTTGCATCACATGGTGCCGGTGGTGTGTGTGTGACCCGCTGACCCAGCGGTGCTCACTAGCATCAGCTACCCTTGCGACTCCTTGTCTCACACGCTAGGTGTGGACGGCCGCGCTCTTGCCCCAGGAGGCAGGGCCCCATCTCCTCCAGCCGTGGGGTGGGCAGCTACCTTGTTGGAGCTGGCAAAGCCGTTGGTGTTGACATCGGGGGTGACTCCTGAAGCTGCCATGTAGGTACTGCCAATGGTTTTGATCTTGGTGATGACCCGGAATTTGGGATTGTCCAGGAGCTGAGGCCAGTATCAAAGGAGAGAGAAAGGTCAGCAGAGTCCAGGGAGAGAAGTGAGCCAACTAAGTGGCAGATGTGCCTGTTTACAACCACCCCATAAGACATCCAAGAGATGCTTTCCTAAAAACTATCAATTCTGCCACTTAGCGGTCACATCATGTAGGTAGACTTGCTGATGGAGCCTCTGCTTCTATGACCTTAACATGGGACAAAACTGCCAGGCCCCTGGGGTGCTTGAGCGTATACGTAAAAGTATTTTCCTTGGTGATACAAGTTACCTAATAAATATTTACTGAATCTGAATTTGAGGGTAGGAGGAATCCAGTGCCTCAGGATCTTGTTTGGGCCAGTCCTTATGCTGTGATCTTGTAGGCAGCTTCCCGGGCTCCTGTCTTTCCCACTCAGAGCCCCCAGGCAGCAGAAGCCCCCATGTTACCGGGAGAAGCTCATACGGGAAAACAGAGCAGCAAGGGTAACTACCATTTCTCTGATCCCTGCAGCCTGTCCTGAGGTAGAACCTGGAAAGAGCTGGCTTTGGGGCAGGAGAGGGGCAGGATGGGCACTCACAGAATCAAAATCTGAGATGATCTCATTGAGGAAGCGCAGACACTCAATGCCACCATTATTGATGCTCTCTTCCGTGTAGAAGTCGGCAAAGTTGGGCAGAGAGGCAAACATGACTCCAATCTCATCGTAAGACTGGCTGTACAGCTCCTAAGAAGAGGCAGGGCCAGAGTGCTCAAAGAAACGCTGCTGGAATGGCGTGCCCCAGAAACGACTCTGTCTTCCACACCCATGATCGGTGTCCTTAGCTTTTTGGATGGACATCCCAACTTTGCATTATAAGGAAGTGGCTCATCGCAACTTCAAACAAGTAAAGTTTCTCTGGGCCCTGTAACAGCCCCAGCTTTGAGAAACGGTGGAAGTGAGGCTAAGAACCCTTCTGTGTGAGGAGATCACAGCTGACAGAGGTTGGGGACTTCCAGGGATGTGTGGCCCACAGAAAACATCTAAGCGGTGCCCTTTACCGGAAGCCTGTGACATGTTACAGTCGCCACTTGCGTGCAGCCCAGCCCGGACCAGTGCCCGCTCCTGAGGAGGCCTTGGGCCCAGATGGGCTGGCGAAAGCAAGCCGGATGAAGACACATAGCCTCGTGGCTGCCGGCTACTGTGTGAGGCCACCCCTCACCTCATCTCTCTTCTTGGACCCCAGGAAATGGCGTGCCACGTGCTCAGGCAACATGTTGGTGACCAAGGCCTCATTCCAGCGCCGCATCTCGTAGACACGTTCCTTCTGGTCGTGGACCTCGATCTTCCACAAGAACAGTGTCCTTGCCAGTTTTTCTACCTGTGGACGGACACAGGCAAGGTGTGTGCTTTAGCCGGCCATGTGAAGGAAAGACGAAGAAGAGAACTTGGAGGGGTTCCACGGGGAAACACTGGCAGGAAGACTACTAAATAGCAAGGGAAAGACGACGCAAAGAGACCCACCGACTGAAAAAGGCCACCCTGCAGCTACAGTGGGGTTCCCGGCCTCGCCGTGGTTCTGCAGAGCGCCGAGAGCCTTCTGGGTACATGGGAGGCTCCCCTAAATCTGGGACCTCATTCTAGCGACGGGTCTGTCTTGGAGGCGGATGGCAGCCGTGGGGATCTGCCAGCCTAGGGTGAAGTCCCCACTTCCGCCAGGCTCCATCGGGCTAGAGAAGGCTGTACTTTCCCTGGCAAACCACTGGGGGGCACTTGGGCTCACGGGGAGCTAGTTCCCCGCCCTCTCTCTCTGCTTGCTTCTTTTACCTCTTCCTTGGAACCAAACAAAACTTCATCAGCTTCTTTCCCTTTCTCTCCTGGCTCCATGGTGAGTGTGTGAGTAAGTCCCAGAGCCAGGGTGGGTGAAAATCCAGGGGCCCCTGGCCTAGGAAACATGTTCTCCAAGCTTTTAGCCTGCTCTGTATGCTGCTGCAGCATGTGCCGGAGGCGATCAGGAGAAGAGGGCAAGGACGGGCCTTGTACGGCGAGGGAGGGAACCGGAAAGCGGAGGGACGGTGGCCCAGCCAGGGCCACGTGCTGGGCTGGGTAAGGGAAGCCAGCATTCCCAAGGAGCCTGCGTTCTTGGGCCGAGACTGCTTTCTCAGGAGGCCCCACTGGCTTGTATGCGAGGGGGAGGGGAGGGTGTGCAGGCACTCACGTGGCGTGAGAAGTAGTAGAAGCTCAGCATCATGACGAAGATCATCATGGTCATGGAGTACTTAGAAGGCACCAGGGGCAGGCTGCGGGGCAGAGAGGAGTTTGATTCCCTCCAACGGGGCTGGGCCTTTCCTGTCACCCTGGGCCAGAAACTCCTCCCAGCTCGTTAAGCACCTTCACATCAAGTCCGGACTCCCACAGGTGAATCTTTCTTAAACCACTGGGCTCCCAATAGGCAGCCCAGCCCTGGCCCCTCCTGGAATCCACCCGAGGGCGCCCCAGATGTTTCATAAATACTGTAGGTGTGACCACGGAAGCCTCTGGAGAGAGACTAGCGTTGCAGTGATGGGACGATGGCACCATTTATGATTCTTTTTTAATAACTTCACATTTTTGTATGGAGCTACAGTTTTCATTACTATACAGTAGTCTGTTGTATGAATAGATCACAACTTGTGTCCCCATTTGCTGTTGATGTGGTTTGGGTTGTTTTCATCTGCTTTGGATGTTTTGTGTGTATGTGTAGCTATGATGAACAACGTGACTGGACAATCCTACACACACATCCTGGGATGCAGAGGTGTGCACGGACTTCTGTAAAGTGTAAGGGCGCAGTGGAATTGCTGGGTCCTAGGTCTATTTGCAACTTTACTGAATAACTCCAAATTGTTTTCTAAAATGGTTGTACCAATTTATACACCCATCAGGAGTGAGTTACCGTTGTACTTGATGTTACCAGACTTCTTCATTCTTGCCAAACTGGTAGGTGTGTAGTGGTCTTTTGTTGTGGTCCTGGTTTTCACATCCTTGATTACATGAATGCCTCTCATTTATTAGTGGCCATTTAGATTTCTTCTTTTGTGAAGGACCTATTCATTTCTTCTGCCCTCATTCTGTTAGGTAATCTATTTTTTGTTTCCTTTAACTTACTTGAAGGTCTAATTAAGTCACTGAATCACAAAATTCTAAAACTTTAGAACTAGAAGGGACCTTGGAGAACTTCTAGTCCAATATCCTTTTCAAGACATGAAACAGACTCAAAAACTGGCCTGCCTGCAGCCCCAGAGACAGCCCAGCAGCAGGGGGCAAAGCCTCATCTTCCAGATCCTCTGGGCCGGGTGCAGGGCTCTTCCCTCATTTCTCTGTGGTCTGTCCCGCCGGTTCCCGCTCTCCTCACCTCAACCCAGCCCCCGTCCCACCCCCTAAACCACACTGCTGCTCCTCCCCTGGCTCACTCTGAGCCCGGATGGGCCGCGACAGCCGGGTCCATACTGAGGTCATTCTACCTCTGGCTCCAGCCCTCCTGTGGAAACACATACTAACTTCCCTAATGAATATCCCACATCGTATGCCTCTGAAGGGGTGAGATCACGGCCTTCTCTTGCTTCCAGAAGAGAGAGTGCGGACCAGAAAGGGGAAAGCCGCTGCCCTCACCTGCCAGTGCCGTTGAGCCCAGGGGTGGAAAATCCCTGCATCTTCTCTAAGGCGACCACGGGAAAGCTGCAGGACAGAGGCGCAGACTCAGGCCCCACCTGGGGACAAGCGGCTGATGCCCAGTGGCCAAACACGGATCATCCACTCATCAAGAATGGAAAGGATCTACCCCAGGATCACAGCCAACTAGTGGCATCTCTGTCAGAAGCCACGAACCCCGATTCCCATACCGTCCTTTGTTGAGCCCCAGGCCCGTGACCTTGAAGTGGGGACTTGGGGGTGGGAGGAAGGAGACAATACAGATCCCCAAGTAGGCTTCATCTTACTCATGTTCCTGAAAACGTCTACGGTCGTATTCATCAAAGATGGGGCGCCAGGCATAGATGTTGATGACGGCCACGGCCCCGGTGACGAGCAGCATGAGTGTGAGCTTCACCATGTGGCTGACCTGCACCAGCATGATGGTGGCAATGAGGGACAGCACGGCGACATAGTTGTAATACTTGGGGTTCTCTACGCAGCCATCCTCCGCCTCCAGCCCTGCGGTGCTGTTGTTCGGTCCCGTGTAGTACTGGAGACAGCTGAGCTGGAGGCCAGGCCCGGGGCGCAGGGAGGACATGGGGTGCAAGGGAACAACAGACACTGGTCAGAGGCGGCTGGGTCGTGGCCACCACGTCCCACAGCTCCCTCGGGAACACTGACAGACGGGACAACTGACCGAGGAACAGAATACAAACGTTAGTAATGCCCACTAAGAGCTGAACCGTATCTTATTTGATGTTTATGAAAATTCTCGAGCGTCTCTAGGACTGCCACCTTTACAGCAGAGCCGAAGGGACTGGCCTGGTGCCGAGCAGTGCACTCAGCAGGCGGTAGAGTCAGAGCGAGGAGTGCAGTTTTTAGGTTTCACATACAACACGCTCTTGCCCACGGCACAGTGTTGCTTAAGGAGGGGCCGTGGGGCCAGCCAGGGAGCCTCCGTCACGGCTTCGCGGCCTGGCAGCCAGTCTCTGCTCAGACGCTTCGGTTTCTGGGGCCTGCTCCCGCCGCTGGGCAGACGGAAGTCAATGGCAAGTGCCTCCATCAACTGAAGCCAACCTACTTCCTGTAACTTCCACCCACTCGTGGAAGGTGCTCGTCTGGCTCTGGGAAGTTCTCAGCATGTGAGAGGTTTTCATACCTCCCTGGTCTTTCACCCCTCCCCTGGCAACAGGATCTCGAGATGTCCTGCATAGAGTCCGTGACCCTGGTAAACAGTGGTCCCCAGACCCGGCACCAGGCTCCAGGTGTGCTCAGCCAGGTTAGGGGCTCGGGCTTCTCTTCCCTGCGCTTGGGCACCATGCGACAAGGGGCACATTAGGTTCTGCAGCTCCTGAGTTCTAGTTGGACTTCGGATCAACTGGCCCAAGGGATAAGTCTCCATGGTGAGTTTTTTCCCCTGTGCTTAAATTGTTATTTGAAAAAAGTAGGACTTTTTAAGAGCATGTATACAGTACTGCCAAAATTGTTGGGAACTGTGAGGACTGACGAGAATGTCAATTGCAGCTCCAAGCTGCCAAGGCTCAGTAGCTGACTGGTGGTTCTGAATCCACGGAGCTGGGTTTCTTTCTTTCTTTTTTTTTTTTTTTTTTAATATTTTGTTTATTTGAGAGAGAGAATGAGATAGAGAGAGAGCATGAGAGGGGGGAGGGTCAGAGGGAGAAGCAGACTCCCCGCCGAGCAGGGAGCCCGACGCGGGACTCGATCCAGGGACTCCAGGATCATGACCTGAGCCGAAGGCAGTCGCCCAACCGACTGAGCCACCCAGGCGCCCCACGGAGCTGGGTTTCTAACTGCTGTCACCGCCCCCCCCCCCCCCCCCAAGAAAGCATCTGGCTGCTCCCTTGAGACCTGCCGCTTCTCCATGAATTGAGAGCAGAGAAGATGATTTGTCTGCCCCTAGCCATTTGGGCTCTAGGAAGGTCTGGCAACGTTCAAACGGATGAAGGCAAACAAGAGAGCTCCTTTAGCAGAACAGGTTTCCCTCCCTGGTCCTGGATACATGACACTAGCCACACTGTAGGGAATACTTAAGATGTGCATTGTGCCCCTTGATCAGTAAGATAATGGAGTTTCTTCACAGGATTGGGATTTAGAACAGCTCGATCCCTGATTCTGTCACTTACTGACAGTGTGAGCTAAAACAAGTGAATTAACCTGAGCCTCGCCACTGTAGATAATGATACCAAACGTCTTGGGACTGTTAGAAAGATTAAATGAGGCAACATCCAGCACGGGGCCTGGGGCATGGTGTCAGGCTCTTGGACTCTGGGAGAGCAAGGAGCTGGGGCAAACAAGTCAGTCTCAGGTTTCTGGGGTAGAAGACCCTGTCCATTTGGCCAAGGTGATCTGTTTAGGAAACTAAGTGCCACTCTAAACCTGTGTCTAGGGGTGGAGGATTGGTTGACCAACTGCTCATCCTGGCCAATACAGAAGCCTTTCTCCACTGAGAGTGAGGGGAGGGGCGTCCCTTGACCAGGCACAGCAGGAGCTCACCATGTCCACGACGTTTGCCATAACCAGAATGAAGATGGCTAACATGGCCCAGGTGTTCCTGGCCCAGCGGGTCCGGTCGATCCAAGTCGAGAAGGCAACGAGCTTCTTAGGAAAGGCCTAGAAGGAATGGAATTTCAGGGGCCGTGAACTTTTGACAGTCTTTTCTCCCATAAATAGGACTGCTAATGATTCTGGTTGCTCCCCTACCTCCCAGGAACCTAAACTGTAGTCCACCAAAAACTGGCAGAGCTGAGAAGGCAGCACAGGAGACTGGCGCTCTGTATCAGTTCCTCTGGAGGGGTCTGTGACACAGCAGGGCCCCCACTGGAGCCCTCTCTGGAGCAGACAGTGACCAGGCCAGGAGGCTGTGGGCAGTGCCAGCCAGCGGCAGCCCACCCCGTAAGTCCAGCAGCAAGGCCGTGTCAGGGAACGATTTTCAGGGCCAGCCACGTTTGCCTGGCTGCTCCCGTCTTCCCTGGGTCAGTATAGCCGAAATCCTCCAAGTCACCCGGCAAGCCACCTGCTGGTCTCGTTACCCTGAAACACTGCTTTTCTCCTCTCAGTCTGATCAGAAACTCTGCAAAGCACCCCAGTTCTTACGGGAGAAACCCTCAGTCTCTTTGTCTGGCTTTCACGGTCCTTCATGGTCAGGGCCAACCCCCTTCCAGCTGGGCCTCCACTGCTTTTCTACAGTTTCCCAGGCGTTTGTCTGGGCTCTGGCATAGGACCGTGCTTGCTCAGCTGACATGAGTGCGTGAGTGACGAGGAAGGAATGGATGGACAAACGCCTGAACCGTCCTAACACGACAGTCTGCTTGTACCGAGTCCTTGGGACGCCTGACTCCATCCATACCGCTCCCGCTTCTGGAGGGCTTCGCAGCCAAAAGGAAAAGTGGCTCTTACCCGGGGAAAGATGGCGGCCAGCGAGCAGATTGTCAGGATCAGAAGCAGAACCTCCCCGACCACAAAGGTCATGTAGTTCGTTGTCAGCCTGTAATGGGGAAACGACAGGGAGGGGGGCGGAGGGATCAGTGAGATCGGGGAAGGGGCTACGAGAGGCAAGAAGGAGGGAGAAGAGCAGGCTCTCTAGGCCTGCACCTGAAACGTTCCCAGGACGCCACCGACTCATGCCTCCTGCTGCATAGACGAGCCAGAGGCCGAGTCGGGCGGCTACCAGCTGAGTGCAGGGCCCGGGAACGCGCGCCGCCCCCCGCCCCCAGCGGTAGCTGTTGCTGGGGCGCAGGGGGTTCTTGGGAGTGAGCACTGTGCCGTGAAGGGGGAGCGTGGGACAGGGCGGCTCGCCTGCTGCCAAGGGCTGGGAGGGCTGGGAGGGCTGGGAGGGCTGGGAGGGCTACCCCCCCGCCCCAACTGCACAGAGCTTCACAGTTGAACAGGGCCTCCCTCACCCACCTTCGCAACTCTGAGCAACTCGGGGTCTCCAAATCCTGCCCGTTCACACAACCCCCACCATTTGGTTCTGGAGCGACCTCTGTTGCTAAGCCGGTGCCTGATTCTCGGTCACCTCTCCTCTCCCTTGGGGTCTTTACTCAAATCCCACCCTGTGCCCTGTGGGTGAGGCCTGTTCCGCCCCGTGCTGGACACAAACGCAGAGCAGACCAAATGCAGAGCATTCCTGGCTCCCTTCTTCCCTTCTATCCACCCACTTGCCGCTGTCTGCAGGCATGTTCTGATTATTCAGTTGTTGACCTCTGTCTTGCCCTGCTAGAATGTAAGCTCCACGGGAGCCGGGCTCTTTGTATGTTGTCTTCACTGTATATCCATAGGCCTCAGAGCCAGGCACCGAGCACCGGTGAGTATCTGCAGTGAATGAATGCATTTGATCCTTCCAACAATCCTGGGGTTAGCAGGGCAGACATTATCACCTTCAAATTGTTGGTATCATCATTGTCTTTGGCTTCTGGAACCTTAGGGACACGGCCATACAACAAATCGGCCAAGAAGCGTGTCTAGAACTTGTAACTAAGTCCAGGGCTCTTTACAGTGCCCCTAATTATAGCTGGAACAGGCCCCCACCGCCTCCCATTTGACAGGGAACCCCTGCGCAGGACTGAGCGGCCGAGGGGCTGCGGGGAGGGAGGGGCGCGGCAGCTGTCCTTTGCTTGGGCCTCAACAGCTGGGGAAGGTCTCCAGAACATCCCTTGCCCCGGAGGACCTGCTGCTGTGTGACAGAGCTGTTTGTACCCAGAGTCTAAAATCCATCGGCTAAGATGAAGCAGGAAAGGGAAGCCAGATCAGCCTTGGTGACCGAGCTTGAGGAGTGTCCCCCATCTTCTGTCTCCTCGTCCCAGAACTGCTCAGGCCCACGCAGCCAGGGTCTCCATCCTCCTGGACCCCTCTCTGTCCTTCAGCTTTCTCAGTCCTGGTTTTGATGCTAGTGCTATTCTAGAATCCCAGGGTAGATAGGAAGGAGAGGGTCCAGGGCATGGTCCTAGCAACACGTGGGCCTGAATTCCACTGGGCTGTTCCACCGGAGGCAAGGAAGAGACCAGGCTTTTGCCCCGATGTCATGCTCCAGCGGGAGGCCCCTACATCGCTCACGCCTCTGGCCTAGGAAGCTCATCACCTTTCACCCTCCCCTAGCCTAGCAGCTCCTGCCGTGCCCTCCCTCACCAGGGGTCGATGAGTATCTCGACCAGCGCCGTGCAGAGCAGGACAACGCAGGAGCAGCTGAAGGCAGCCCCGCTCTGCTTTTCCTTCTCCACTGAGTAGCGGGTTTCCATCTCGGGGTCCATGAACCGCATGGAAAGGAGGAAGGTGTTTCTCTTCTTCACTCTGCAGTGGAAACAAGCCCCAGGGAACACAAATGTCACACCTGCCTTGGCCAATCAGGAAGGGGCTCCACTCAAGATGGCCAACTCCCCGAACCCCCAAGTCAGGGCCCACGAGTGTGTGCAGAGGAACCACTTACACCTGGGCGGACTCTCGCTCAAGCAGGGCCTCGTTGAGTAGCTGGTTGAGCTCATGCTCGTCCTCAGAGGCGTCCACCACTCGGTCAGCCAGGTCCTGAAGGCGCAGCCTCCGGCGTGGGTTGGGGAACGAGGGATTGTCAGCCTGCAAGCCAGCGCGGGGGGTGGGGGGTGCAGGAGGATTTGGGGAAAGAGGGTGGTCAGGGGAGGGGAGCAAAAGGGATCACACTCAGGAGGACTAGGCCCTCGGGTCTAGAAGCCACTTCATGGGAAGTCTTCCCAATGCCCCCATGCAGCTCCTTCTGCTTGGGTCTGGACCCAAAGCCACAGTCCTTCCTGGTTTCCCGGGCCCTGTGGCCCCTGCTAGGAGGAGGGGGTGCCACCCAGCCATGCGCATCGGCATCCCTGGGGAGGTGAATGGCCCCAACTCTGGGGCTTAAGGGAGCTCTTAAAGGAACACACATCCAGTTCATTTGGGGGAGGAAGGTCTGAGGGGCGGGAAGTGCTGGGAGAGGAAGGGATGCCCTCGTCACTAGTGGGGTGGTGGGGCTGAAGTACCCGCTACCATTTTTATTCCTACAGAGGAGAAGCATCGGCTCTAAAAATATGAATCCAGACTGTGATTACATGGCCATCAGCCCAAATAACAATGGACACTGGGCTCATGAGAGCTGTGTGTACGGGTCCAAGAGAGCCCGGCCTTAAGCTTGGGTGCACCGCTGGCTGACGATAGGACCCATGTCACTCATGTTCCCCAGCTCCAACTTTCTTCTCTGTAAAATGACGTGGAAGGTCTGTTCTAGTACCAAGAACCTCTGTCCCCGAAGCATCTGCTGGAGAGTGTGGCTAATTATGAGGATGGAAGAACCACAGGCTGCTAAAACTATCTGCGCCCTCGTTGCTGAGTTACATCAGGTCTGTATTTCCACTTTCTATCCAGAAAATCATGCTAGGGAAGAGTTGCTGAATGTCATGGTGATCCAGAAAAACCCAGTTAACCTTCAGCCCTGTCTCCCCTCTTGTTCCGCAGCACGTGATCTAGAGGCACCAGGGCAGCAAGAATGGGGTTGCTGCCAACGAGCTCACCTCGGCAGGCAGAGGTCCCTGTCCCACAGCATCTGCCCTCATCAGTGAGCGTACTTGGGCAGCTCTTTAGTAAAGGACAGGTCCTGGATGCTCTCCCAAGATGGACCCTGTCCTCGGGGGTGGGTAGCACGTTCACTCCTCTGGAAATCCCCCATCTGTGCCTGGGACTTGTGGTGTCTGGACCTCACCAGAGAGGTGAGCCCACCCTGAAGTCTCACTTCCAAAACAGTCTCATCAGATCCTACAGAATTTTCCACGGATGTCCTCACTGCCCTCAAAGCCACAGGATTCTGGTACAGGAGAGCTACACAAGGCCTCAGAGCTGAGCACCTCTTCTGACCCTCCCCACCCCCACCCCAGTAGCTACTGAGACAGTGGGGCCAGGGTAGGAGGTGATGCCCAAGGTGACACCACTGAGAAGGAGCGGAGCATGGGCCAGTGGCCAGGTGTCCTACTCCCGCACAGGACACTTCCGACAGCAACCTTCACCTCCCTGCCCCCTGCCACGCCCTGGCCCTCACCGTACGCACCTGGCCATCCTGCTCGTCAGGCTCCCCCGATGTGGAGCCGCTGGTGTGGATGCTCCCGTTGGGCTCCTTGGTCTCAATGAGGGCGGGGGAGCTGGGCTTGGAGGAAGCTGGCGCTCCGTTTCGCAGGGCCTGCAGCGGGAAGAAGTGGCCATCAGAAACCCCAGACACAGTCTGCCCACCCGCCCCAGCGGGCCTGGTTGGTCTACTGTCGGTCTGAAATCTTGCCATGAGAGTTTAGAAGCCTGCAGGCTAAGAACTGTCCTACCTGACTCCTCCTCTAGAACGCTGGTTTTAAACGCCGTACACTCCTGGTGTCTATTTCTACTACTAGAATTTTTCTAAGTAAAGAAAGACCCTCCTGTTCCAACTCCTGTTTCTAAAATAGTAACACAATGATCCACAGAGGTCCTTTTTGGTTGTAGCATCTGTCAAATGCCTTCCAAAAGTCTGACTAAATCCCACAAGCCCGTTTGCCCAGAGATGAGTCCTTTTCCTTGACAGAACAGGTCAAACACTGTAACCCACGGCGAGACAGTCCACTCATTTCACGAGTATTTGCGGAGTCCCTAAACTTCAGGGGATACACGAAACATCCCGTGTGAGCTCACATTCTAGTGAGGGAAGGCGGACAGCAGGAAGACAAGTCAGTCAAATTAGTACAGTACATAAGAAGGGGGTAAGTGCTCTGGAGAGAGGTAAAGAAGGGAAGGGGCACAGAGATCGCTGGGGAGCGAGACGGTAACGAGGTCAGGGGAGGTGTCACCGTGAGGATGACATTTCAGTGACGACCTGAAGGAGTGAATCCTGCAGCTCTCGGGGGATGGGCCTCCCCCCGCCCCGGGGAAGAGAGAGAAGCTGGTGCAAAGGCCCTGCAGCAGATGTGTGCTCTGAGCACCAGCCGGGAGGCCCGTGCCGCCGCCGGGGCAGTGAATGAGCGGAGCGAGGGCCTGGCTGTACCCGGCCTTCCCTCCGAGGCAGGCAGAGACCAAGGCAGTGACAGGACGTCCCCTGGCGCTTCAGCGGGAGCACCACCTGCTGTGGAGAAGGGACCGTGGGGCCCGGCCAGCGGGAGGATCACTGGCTAGAGACCCGCGATCTGGTCACGTGGCCCGACCGGGTGGCGGCTACAAGGGCGTGGGGCGGGGGCAGTCAGAGTCCTCCCTCGCAGGAGGGTCGACGGAACTGGCTTGTGGCCGGTAAAGAGAGGGGTCAAGCCTGTGTCCGGTGTTTGGTCTGAGCTGCTGAAAGAATGAAGCCGCCACCGAGGAGATGGGAGGACAGAGGGCTGAGCAGGCCCCGGGCCGGGGACCAGGGACCGGGGACCGAGCTGCCCGTGTTCGTGCAGGGGTGAGTGCAGGCAAGCCGGCTGAGCCTGAGGTGGAGACCCGAGAGTCATCAGAGGAGGCATCTGAGACCAGCCTGGCTGAGCCTCAACCAGGGCAGGGTGGGCAGGGAGAGGTCTGGAAGCTTTTCAACACTCGGGAAGGACTCATTGTGAGGACTGTCCTCATTCTCCTCCCTGTCCGTCGCTTTATCTCACAAAACCACGGGGACAGATTTCTGCAAGTGGAACTGTGTTCGCTCCCGTGACTTCCCAAGGAGCACCGCTCACCACCTTCCTTCCTTCTTCCCACTGTCCCCCCACAACACGTGTTCCCCCCCCCCCCGACATCTGCGCATTACTGCCTCCGACCCCGTGGTGGCCGAGCAGGTGAACGTCGCCTTATCCGCCCACGTCTGAGGTGGAGGCTTCCAGAACAGTCGCTCGGCTGGCCACACGAGCTACAGCGGCTGTGATGCGTGGTTCACCGGCCCGCGCACCCCGGCCGCGAACACGGGGGCACAAGCTACGGCAGCTGAACGCTCAAGTTCCCCGAGATGCTGAATGATGACTCAAGCACGACAGCTTCATAAAGCCCGCTCTGCCCAGGCTCCCTTGCCTCGGTGGCCTCATCTGCACCCTCGGAGGGGTGTCCGCTGCGGCCAACAAAGCCTGATCCAAATTACATACCATGCAAGGGTTGTTGAAATAAGCAAAATAAAATACAAGATTAGAACAAAGGAGAACGAGTGTGGTCCCAAAGACCTATCTGACTGCCATTTGTGACTTCAAGGTGGTCCCTGGTAAAACCCAACTTGTGGGTACTGTTTGAAAGGAATAGCATTTCTCGATTAAAAATTTTATATGCCAGAAATTATAAATTTCCTAGCACTTTATAAAAGCTCATTTCTTAGATTATTGTCAGTTACGGTCTTGTAGAACTGCTTAGAAGACACGTTTTTAATTTGTTCTAGGGAATGTATTAAAGTTCTGCGTGTAGCACTCTTAAAAATATGAAGGACTCGTTAATTTTGTGTCAAGGTCGAGTCTTATTTCACGAGGCTCTACTTTCTACCCTGACCGTTCCTAATATTCTGAAAGACAGCTTCCTACTTTTCTGAGTTCTTTGGAGCATTTAATTGCAGCTCAGACTTTATATGCAGCAGAAAATACCCTGAACTGGCCTTTAACACTGGTGCCGAGCGGGATTTTAAATTACTCGGGAGTGAGGGGTGTCCTATCCCCCCGTGCGTCCGTCCCGGTGCTGAGTTTGTGTGAGCTGCCCACGGGAGGGACCCACGCACACCTGGGATGCAGCATGGCGGGCAGGCCGGGGGCACGGGCCCTGCTCTGCCACCTACTAGATCTGCAACTCGCATGCAAAGTTCTAGGTCTCAGTTTCCTCCTCTGCAAAGTGGGTATGACAACAGCCCCCTTCTCGCAGGGTTGTCTTGAGGAGTAAGTGAAATAATGGACGCACAGAAGCACTCCCTGAATAGTGGTTGCGATTGGAGCTAATGGACGAACCTTCTGTTTCTGTTTGATTCGCTGGTCATCACATACATTTGCGGGAGGGGAGAAGGTGTGTAGTTCTCTCTTAAAACTTCCCCAGGGGTCACGTCTTCAGCCACAGCCCCTGAAGCCTCCCCAGACCAGCTCACGCTCTGCTTCTGCCCTTACGAGGCGAAGCCCCAGCCGTGGGACGGCCTCAGACCGCATACCATCCCCGAGAGCGCCAGACTCAGCCGTTACATTCTCGCGACTGGTGCGACTGGTGCGGCTGGCGCGTTCCTAAGTACAAAGTTACGAGGAGTGAAGCAACTCCCCGGTTCAGCCGAGCAGCACGGAGGGCTCCGCTTCCGCAGCGGCCCCTGGTGGCTCCGAACCAGACAGCCCGTCAGGAGGCCGGCGGCGGGCGGGAGAAGCTGGGGCCGCGGCTCAGGGCTTCGGGTCTGACGAGAGGCAGGGAAGCGGCACAGAGACGAGAGCAGGGCGGGCCGGCTTCACTGCTTCCGGCCTGTTCTTCCTTCTTCTCCCACCCAGCAAGCCTTCCCGGCCTCGGTTCCCCGTCTCCGTGACCAAGGCACCCCCACGGCCTGCCCCCGGCCTCCTCGGCCTCCTCGGCCCCCGCGCGGCTCCGGGCAGCCTCTCCCTGGGCGCCCCCGTCTCTCCCAGGGCTCCGACCGCTCCCCCCGACGCAGGGGGGCCCGCCCCGCCGGCCGCCGGCCCCGGGGGCCTCCCTTCTGGCCGCCGGAGCCACGCGCTCTCCGGCCCCGCCCCGCCCGCCTGGGTGCCCCCCACGGCCCGGCCGCTCTTCCACCGCCCGGCTTCTCGAACCCGCCTTCCCGTGCCGGGCCGGGCCGGCCGGGGCACTCACCGGGCCGCCGAGACCGCGCTGCGTGGCCGTCTTCTTCACCTCTGGCTTGGACGCGACGATGAGGTAGGTCTCGATGCCCTTCTCGTCCAGGTACTCACAGCGGCTGCCGCCCTCGCCCGGCTCCACGTCGAACTCGCCCTTCAGGCAGTCCAGGGTGCTCTGGGAGATGTGCACACGCCTGCACGGCAGCGAGGAGCCCGGGCCCGTCAGGCCGCCGGAGCCCGCGGAGGCCACCCCCGCCTCTGAGCCGCGGCGCTCCGGCCACGAGGCAGGCAGGCGACGTCCCCAGGCCGCGCAGAGCGCTGCGGGGGGTGAGGAATTCGGAGGGCCGCCCCGAACCCTGTCGTGACGTCCTACCGCTGCGTACCTTGCGGGTTCCTAGTTGCAACACCTGTCGCCAGGGGCTAAGAAACCCGTTTCTGGGGAGTGACCGCGGAGGGGGAGGATCGTGACCGCCTGCGAGGGGCTGACCAGGCGGGGAACGCGTGGCTGCGTCCTCAGCCCGTCCGCCCCGACCGGCTGAGTCTGTGACCGAGCTCCAGCCGGGTGTGCAGGTGCCTCGGAGCCTGCTCCTCCAGTGCGGCGCCCTCCGGGGGACCCGGCCTCCCCAGGCAGCCCCCGCACAGCGTGCCCAGATGCCGGCCTGTGGCCCCACGGCGGGCGGAGGGGCCACAGCCGGGCTCAGGCCAGGAGGCAGGCGCCCCCAGGAGGAACGCTGCTCTGGGGTGTCTCTCGTCTGAGCCACGGCCCCCTCCCTCAGCCCCCGCACCTCCCCACTGGGAAGGAACGCTGGCTCACCCGGGGATGCCACCGGCCTCCATCTTGTTGGCCACCGTGACGTCGGTAGACCACACGTCGTACTGCCAGCGCTTCTGGCCCAGGACGCCCCCCAGCACGGTGCCCGTGTGCACCCCCACACGCATGTCCACCCCAGTCTTCGTCTTCTCCCGCACGTACCTGCCAGGCACACACGGAGAGGAGGAGGGCTCGGGCATGGCCGCAGCAAGGCGGCTGGCCCTCCATGCCCCGGGGAGGAGCTCTGCACGGGCTTTCCTCCCCTCCAGGCTGAGGGGACTCCTGGGCGCCCCACAGCGCTCTGCCTGCGCTTGAGCCGAGTCACCTGTGGCTGGGGACCAGCGGGCCGACAGAGGGAAGGCTGCTACTTGCCCGTGTCCACCTGCGCCGGGCACCGTGCCAGGGCTCACGTGCAGCCGGGAAAGCTGCCCCGTGGTGAGGGAAGTGGAGACGAGTGATCCTGAACTACCCCCCCCCCGCCCCCCCCCCCACACCCAGTGCGGCATCTGTTTCTAGGCCAATGTCAGAGGAGCTCTAACCCGAAGATGGTAACAATGCAAAATGGCCCTCTGGTGGCAAGATGACCCCTCCCGGCCCCCATCCTGGCCGGGGGAGAAGCCTCAGCAAGGAGCCCCCTTCCCTCCTGGGGCCTGATCCAGCCAGGGCCTGCCTGGGAGGGCCTCCAAGGCACAGCGGGGAGTGTGAGGGGGAGAGTGCAAGGTCCTCAGGGCTCGCAGCGGTGGAGCTGGGAGCCCAGAGCAGAGGCCAGGGTTCCAGTCCCACACTGCCGCACACGGACTTGCTGACCGGAGATGGGCCTGGAGGCTCACAGTGAGAAAACACTGAGAGAGGAATGGGGGCCCAGGGGGGGGAATCCAGATGAATGTGAAGGGCTGTGACAGACTTCACCACGACGGCCACTTCTCCAGAAAACCACAGCGGATGGAGGCTGGGCCCCTCGGAGGCCGTGGAAGGCTGGCAGCCCCTCAGCCGTGAGGAAGACGAGCCATGTCCCCCACTTCCCAGAACTGGGTACTGGGCCGCCTGCCGCCCAACGCAACACCCACGGGACATGGGGGCCTGGGGTGTGCTGGGCCCCCACGACTGAGCACGGAAGGCCTGCCTCTCCCGTGGTCCACCGCCCCTCCCCCTGGAGCCCCCCACTCACGAGATGGCCTCCACCATGGCGAGCCCCATGAGGATGGAGCACACGGCGTGGTCCTCCCGGTAGTCGGGCAGGCCGCAGATGCAGTAGTAACAGTCACCCAGGATCTTAATCCGCAGCTGGTGGTATTTCTGAAAGCACAGGGTGTGGGGGGTGGCTCTGAGTCCCTGCTGGACATGGTGCAAGGAAACCGGATGAGCTGGGGGGGGGGGCAGGCCCACGCCCTGAGGGTGGCCCCCGAGCCCGAAAGCCCGACGAGGCCCAGGCACTCACGGCGGCCAGCTTGTCAAAGCGGGCAAAGAGCTCGTTGAGCAGCTTCACGAGCTCCTGGGCACTGCAAGCAGAAGACAGCTGGGTGAAGCCCACGATGTCCGCAAAGAGGATGCTGCAAGAGGAGGGGGGCAGCGGCCGTGAGGCTCCAGACAGCGTGCCTGGCTCCCCCACCAGCTCCCGCTGCCCACCACAGGCAGCCAGGACCCCGGCGCAGGGGGCCCTTGCTCAGGCCCCAAAGCAGTGAGACCCTTGGCACTTGCCAGGTGAATTCGGGGCTCTGATGTTTAGCTTATCCTTGTGGGCCCCTCCTCCACGAGGCCTCCTTCCCCCACGCTGCCCGATCCTGGCCCCAGGATGAACCCACCCCTCCTGGAAGGAGCACGGCTGTGAGCCCCAGTGCTGGCCCTGAATGGCTGGGTGACCTCCCGGATGTCACCTCCCCACCCTGGGTGATGTCTGTATGATGCTGGGGCCGGACCACACAGCTTAGATGTCTCAGCCCCAACATGGGCCGGGAACACTGCTCCCGCAGGGCCTTAGGCTCACACGGCGGGGATGGCTCGGCTTCTAGTCCTGGCGGAAGACTCTGGAACCCCACAGGGCACGGCCGACCCCACAAAGTCCGGCCCCCGTCCTGCTCTCGGAGCCCAGGCCCGGCGCACCTGACGTTCTCGTGCCGATACATGTACATGGTGTTGAACTGCTGCTGGTCCTTCTGGCTCTCGTCCTTCTTCATGTCCTTCAGCATCTCGTCAGCCACATGCTTGGGCAGGATGGAAAGCATAAGGTTCTCCTGGGAGGAGGAAGACCGGGTTAGTGGGGAGGCAGGGTCCAGCCTGTACCCTTCCAGGGGCACGTTCGGATACTTGCGGCGGCAGACGTCGGCCAGAGCCCTCCCGGCACAGATCCCAGGTTGGGAAGCAGCCAGAGAGGCCCAGGGCAGCAGCTTCCTGTGATGGAGCATCTTCAGGCCCTGATGGGAGTCAAACACCCACGAAGAAACCCATGCTTGGCTCTGAACCTCCAGAGCACCCTCACGGCCCCAGGGAAGGCGACAGTGCCTACGTGGGCCTGTTCTAGCCCCTGCACTGGGGGCCCCCAAGGGCAGGACCTTGTGTCATCCACCGCACCCTGCACAGACCAGTCATTCAAGAATCCTGATTCAACGTGGCCGGAGACCTACTACGTGCCAGGCAGCACGCTGGGTACCAATGCCAGCAAAGGACTGAGTCTCTGCCCTCAGAGGGCTGAGGGCCTCATGGGGGGACAGGTGAGCATGCCTCCCGACGTGCAGTTTGGTAAGTGCCAAGACAAGCGAGGGAGAGCAGGGCAGTAAGAAAGAAGGGTGCCAGAATCAGCCGGGTGTGTCAGGGGCAAGCAGGAGGACTTCCTGGAAGTGAGGCTTGAAGACTGAGATGCTGAGAACATCCTGTCCGAGGGAGCCGCATACACAAGGCACAGAGACCTGAGGACCCCGGGTTCAGGGACCTGCAGCTCCAGAGGTAGGTTTGGATGGAGTGGGGGGGTCGGCACACCGCCACGTGCGGGCCGCTGCCGCCTGTCTGCTGCCCACCCCCCCCACCCCCCCGCTCTCTGGTTTCCATGTCATCTGTGGCTGTCTTCTCCCTCTGAGAGCAGAGCCGAGTTGTTGTGACACAGAACATACAGCCTGCAAAGCTGAAAAAGGCTCTTCTGGCCCTTTCCAGAAAACGTCTGCCGACCCCCGTTTTGCACCACGAAGGGCCTCGTGTGCCAGGCAAGGAATGGGGCGCTCCTTCCCGAAAGCTGCAGGGCACAGGGGTGTGACACGGCAGGGCAGGGCGACCAGTTAGCAGTCGCCCTGGCAGAGTGGGGCCTGGGGACCGCTTGCACCAAGCAGGCAGGACAGGCCCGTGGCTTCGGCCTCTGGGTGGAAGGTGCCCGTCTGTGAAGTCAGGAACAGAGGCGGAGAGACGCGAGGGGACAGACGGGCTGGTTTGGGACGTGCTGCAGGCAGACACTGAGCCAGCTTGGGGGGCTGGGAGATGGGGCAGGAGACAGCCCCTGGGAGGGGGTGAAGCCAGACAGAGAAGCCTAGGCAGGGCACCGCATCGGCAAGGCTGCACGACCCCGTGCCCCAAGATGGGAGGCAGGTGGTGATGGGTCTGGTGAAGGACGGTGGGGGAGAAACTTGAGCTTGCGGCTCAAGCTGAGGTTTGCGGGGGTACGGCAAGTGTGGCTAAGGGGAGGCTGAGGCCTATGGGGCGAGGCAGCAAAGCTGAGGTCGGCCTAGGAGAAGTGGGGGTGGGAGGTGGGCAACAGGCGGGGACAGAGAGGCACGGCTGGGCCTGCCCCCCGTGCTGGAGTGGTTCTGGGGGGCCAGGCCACGTACTGCAGAGCTCGGCCGACGGACAGGGCGGAGCACGGCGGGAGGGGCAGGGGGGTCCAGCAGTACTGTGTCTAGCCTGCCAGCTACAGGAGCTACCTGGGTGCAGGGGTGGCCAGGAAACCAAGAGCGGCTGCCTGTGTCCTCTGCGTCTGGGGCCGGTCCAGAGGAACAGAGGCTGCGGGCCCCAGACCTCGGCAGGGACGCCAGCCTGGTGGGAACAGGAGCGGGGGGCCTCGCCTCCCACCGAGGGTCTGCGAGGGTCGGGGGGCCCTGCGGGCTCCTGTTCTCGGCTGTGTCCCGTGGACCCTGAGGCCAGAGAACCCAGCTCTGTTTGAAACACGCCTTCTCTGGGGCAGGAGAACCGAAGTGTGGAGGTTCTGCTCCTCTCCTCTGGGTGAGGCGGCCAAGAGGCCCCCAAGGGCCCGGGCCCGTGCCCCCCGGAAGCCAGAGGGCTGGGGCCTCCCGCACCAGCTCCGGAAGAAGACAGCTCTGCGGTAGCGACAGCTCCCCTTCTGCTCCCCCGACGGTCTGCAGACCAGAGCCCCCACCTGCTCACCCCTGCGCCACAGGAGGTCCCTCTCCCCTCTCCCTCCTGTGGCCAGGCACAGGGTGACGACCAGGCGAGTGGCCCTCAGCCCAGCGTGAAGTGCCACAGCGGTTACTACCAGTCTCCCATTTCCACAGCTACGTCGCTCCCGCTGCTAACAGCCCCGCGAGGGGCACCGTCGCAGAGGAATGAGGGGCCGGAGCCCGGGGGTAGCCCCTGTGCCCCCTGCCCGCGTGTGGGGACGGGCCTTCGGAAACTGAACTAAGGCCACACACCGAGGAGCAAGCGCTCAGCTTGGGAAGGACAGGAGCCACTAGGAGGGGTTTCCAGACAAGCCGGAGGCCTGGGCCCTGCCAGCCCTCAGGGCGGCCTAGGCGGGGAGCTGCCGGAGTCTGGAGGGGACAAGGCGGCGAGTGCCGGGGCAGGAACCCGGGCTGGCGGGACGGGAGGGTGTGGCGACGTCAAGAGCTTGGGCTCCGGGTCCCACAGCCCAGCTCAGACCCCTGCCCTGCCGCGGACTGGCTGTGTGATCCCGGGCAACAGTTAGCCGTCGGGAAAGCAGGAAGACGAAGTGACTCCTCACCGTAGGGCACTGAGAACAGGCCTGCATACAGCAAGTGCTCAGTATGGTGCAGCTGTTCTGTCACCTGAGGAGAAGTGTCACTGAGGGTGTGGGGACAGCAGGTGCCTCAGGAAGATGAGGCCTAAAATCCTTTGCGTTTCAAAGGCTGGCCACAGGTTTATTATAGGTTAAGAGCCCCAGGAGGTATCCAGGGTGAGCAGAGAGTCCTTGGGGTCACTCGACCAGGCCGAGGAACCCTGTCTGGTCCGGGCACAAGGATGAAGGGGAGACAAAGACAGGTCCCGCCGTCCATGATGTCTCAGCCTTGCTCTCTCTCTGTCCCTCCATGCCCTCCCTGACCCCGCCACCCGCGCATGCAGGTGCTCGCTAAGGGGAGGAAGAGGCAGATGTGTGAGGAGTGGGGGAGGGCCCGCCAGCCCGGGGAAGAGGACACTCAGGTGTGTGCACAGGCAGGGGTCGCGGGACACCAAGGATTAGGAGAGTCGCAGCGACCTGTGCTGGGCTCCCAGCCAACCGGCCTATGCAGCCCTAGCAGCCAGCACCCAGAGGGTCAGACCCCAGCCCAGAGCCCTGTCCCTCCAGAAGAGCCTCTCTGGGCTCCCTGGGAACCAATCCAGCGCTGCGAGGTGCTCCATGCCCCTGACCACAGTCCTAATTTCCCTGAAACACAGCCAGGCCTCTACAGGGGTGCAGGACCACCCAGAGCAGCCGAGGGATGTGGCTTGGTCTCCCCAGCATAGAGGCTCTTCCTAAAATAGCAACTCCCACTCTTCCTAAAATAGCAACTACTATATGTTTCGGGAGTCATAAGAATGTTCCGAGCCTCTGACCCATTAATGGCTCTCCTGGGGATTTTTCCAACAGAAATAATCCATGAGAAGTAAAAAGACATACATGCCAGAAGAACTTCAATGAACATCATTCACATTTGTGGAAAAGACTGGAAGGCCCAAATGCCCAGCAAGTGGCTCATTCGACTAGGACACATCCTTTGGACAAACCTCATAGAAACGATCATAATGACAAGTGCCGTGATGAGAACGTGACCAAAGAGAAAGAGCCAACACCGTATCCTGAGAAGGGGACGGCAGACCCACGCGCGCCCCTGAATCACGGCAGAAGAGTATGTGCGAGAGGGAACAGGGTAATCTGACCTGGCGAATGGAATCCCGAGAAAACGGGTTATGTTTTTCAAAATTGCTATATGGTTATGCTGCTGCTTTTTTAAACATACTTTTTGAACTGGAAATAAACACAAAACTTCCCTTGCTATGACCCTAACCCTGGTAATGACCAGATTTCTTAGAAAGGGAAGGGCCCTGCCAGTCCGCCAGGCTCGCTCCGGACTCCCACGTCCACCTGGATGAAAGCCGAGGAAGGAGACTGATGGCCAGGTCCGAAGCCAGGAGGGGACCCCCGCCCCACAGCACAAGAGGGAGGTGGCAGGGGTCTTCTCCAGGAGCCAAGTGACAGAACCATCACCCTGGCCTCGTTTCTTTCTCTAGTTCTCAAGTATCGCCACTCACCAGGCAAATGGACGCTACTGGCCAGGATCCACACTGTCCCCCTTCTTTGCTAAAACTTCCTCCCCTGCCCTGTTATTTTCATGCATGTGTAATACGGCCTCCATTTTGCAGGCGACCAAACCAAAGCATGGAGGGGGTAAGCGGTTTAGTTTATCCCAGGTTCCTCAGAGTTAGCGACAGACCCAGAACTAGAACCCAGGGCTCTTGGACCGAAAGTACAGGTGGGACTTCCTTGTTCACCAAAGGATGTGCTTCTGACACAGCAATTCTCTCATCCACACTGGATGCTGTTCTGCTGCAAATGTGAAGGAACATGAAGTGCCCAAATCCTCCCTAGGAAGGACCTAACGAGGCTGCTCTAGAAACACCTGTGAGGACTCTCCCAGTGGGTGAGCCCACCCGAACGTCCTTTCTGTGCTGCCCCCAGTGCTTGTGGAGTTGAGCTGGGACATCCAGCTACTCCTGATGAGGGTCCTCCTTGCAGAAGCGGACCCAGCTGAGACCTCTGTGGCTGCCTCAGTGTGGTGGCCTCAGGGAGGGCAGGCCAGGGCTGGTGGCAGATACTGGCATTCCTTCTGATGGGTCAGCAGAGGACAGGAGAGAGGTGCTACTGAGGGAGACTCCTGGCTCTCTAGGACAGACCCTGGGCAGGCCACAGTGACCTCCCTCAGCCGCCATACCCCCTCCTCACAGGCTGAGGGGAGGAGAAAGGGGCCAACGCTGCGAGGCCCGGTCTCAGCGACTGGCAGTGGACCCTGAGTAACCCACAGGGCCAAAGGTGAGGGCTCGGAGATGCTGAGTCACCCCAAAGCTGTGACAGAGGCCAGCTATGCTGGCCCCAGAAGGCCTCCCCCATGGCATATGCGCAGCGTGAGGCCACCAACTGCCCACAAGGGGCCTAGTATGGTTAACAGGGGAAACGTGCATCGTTTGACCCCGCTACGGGGAGGAGCAGAAATCTGTGGCGAGTCCGGGGACATCTCAGCCCATCCCTCAGGACCTCGGGCCCCACAGCCCAGTCTGGCCCTCGGAGTGGCAGCCTCAGCCTCACCTGAGGCCCGTTCCTCATGAGGCCCAGATACCCTCAGGTAACTCGCGACCACATTAAAGTTTGGAAGCGCCCCTTTAGGAGCATTCGAGAAGACGGATTTCCTCAAGGCAACAGTTCACTAGGCCCTCGTTGGGGCGTGACCACAAGGCGCAGGAGCCTGAGGCCAGGCGTCAGAGGTGGGCTGAGAGGCTGGGAACGCACCCAGAGAAGCGCAGCCTCCACAGTGACATGGGAGCAACCGTCAGGCCTGAGGGTACGTGGAAAAGGGATGGCGCTTGCTCCGGAGGTTCCCACGAGAGGAAGCTAGCGAGAGAAGGCTTTGGGGAACAGACTGGCTTCTAGAGCAGGAAAAATGTTCTAAGAGTCAAAGCAGTTCAAACAAAGAATGTGCTGCGCTGAGAGCTAGTGAGCTCAGGTCCTGGACGCTGGGTGAGGAGGTGACAGGAGGGAGTCCACCACAGGATGGGAACCTGCCAGACTTGCCAAGCCGAGGCCTGGGGCCCTGCCACATGGGTCCATGCAGAGAGATGGAGAAGGTGGGGAAGCTGCCTCACGTGGTCTCTCCCAGCCCTGCAGTGCTTTGATGGCTAGCCTAAAAATACACACCTAGTCAAGGCCTTGACCCTCTCTGGGAAAAGAACCAAATGAGGCAAAGGAAAGAACAAGCCCTGAAAGTTTCTAGTAGGCTTTCTGGGTAGAGCAAAAAAGCGACCCAGATCCCAGGGAGAAGCACCGGAAGCCCGCCCTGGGGGCTGTGCAGAGGTGGGGCGGGGGTGGGGACTGGCTGGGGTGCAGCGTGCGTCCCGGGCCCGGGCAGGGATTTGTAAACAGGTATTTGCCACACTGCTCAGGTGGGCTGTAAGCCCCTGACCAGGGCAGGCTGTCCGCATGGCCTCCACCAGGCTCTGGGAAGGAACCAATCAAGCCCCCTTCTCCTCAGCACTGACTCAGGCCAGGCCTTGCCTTTGTACGGCTCAGGACTGAGACAGAAGCAGGAGGCCCGCACTGCTCCCGGGGGCCCTGACGGGGCATTCAGGAGTTCGTTACAGGCAGTGGCCAGCAGGGATTTGGATACATGAGCTTGGCTGATGAGAAGCTAAGTTTCTACAACATCCTTGTAAAGGGGCGGTGGGGGGCGGGGGGGGGGGGGGGGAGACTTAAAATGGAGAGAGAAATCAGCAGTGCCCAGGTAGCTGGGTGGGTGGGTGGCGTCTGCACGAAGCAAGCCTGTAGTCTGTTTGCATGCCGTGTCCTCGTGCGTGCCTGAGTGTGTCCTCTGCACGTCCCGTGGGTACGTACACACACACACGCACATACACACATCACTACAGCCCATCACAGGCTGTGAGCAGATGCACAGCTGTCCCCAAACACATCTGCTCTGGGCCTGATTTCTCCAGATTCTTGGAGCTTCCAGGCCACTTGAAAGCCAAAACAAAGGTCCAAGGACCACAGCAGGTGCCTGACCAGCTGAGCAGAGGAGGCAGCAGAAGGAAGGAAACGAGGAGCAGGAGGACCTGGCCCGCCGGCCCTGGGAGGTCAGAGCCCACACAGCTCGCCTCTCCCTGATGAAGAGGGCAAAGGGCCACGGCACGTGCAATCGGGGAACTGTGCTGCCATGTGCCTGGGGAGGGCAGCCACCGTCTACACGGGGGACCAGCACGGGCTGCCCCATCCAAAGACATGGTTACTGCCTCGCTAAGAACAGTCACTGGTCGTCTCTGCAAGGCCCCAGGCTAAATGCTGGGAAGGTCAAAGGTAAACAGTACTCCCGAGAGGTCTGACGGCCAGGGCACTCAGGTCACCTGGGAAGTGCCTGGTCTCATGGGGCAGGAGTGCTTTGCTGTCTTCAGCCAAGGGCTGTGGGCATTCCCAGGGAGCTCAAAGGCCGGCCTCTCTTCGAACAAGCCCCTCCGATGTGAAAACGGACTCCGAGCCCGCATCCCCAGAGTCTCTCAAGTTGTCAGCTCCGAGAAGGAAGCAGGCTCATAATCTTGGCATGGCGGCCACCATCAGGCCGTATCATCTGGGACAGTGCAGAAATCACACAGACCCAGGGGCAGCCCAGAACTCTGACCCTGCTACAGGGGGAGAGGGGACACTTGCCTGGACTCCTGTACGGTCTCCAGAGACAGGGGCCACCGTGCAGGCCAAGGGGACTGCCGTCTCAGGAGACCACACTTTGGGCCCGAAGACGGCCGTGTGTTTGTTGTCTCCAGCCCTCCCCCAGTGTGCTTGGCACAGAGCAGGTGCTCCCGAGAGGTTTGGCGAGATAATGAGCTGTCAACTAGGAGCGGTGGCCCAAGGGACCAGCCATCGCCCTCTAGAACAGCACTGTTAGAACTTCCTGCAATCAAACAAACGCTCTGTGGTCTACGCTGTCCGAGATGGTCCCACGAGCCCCTTGTAGCTACTGGGCACAGGAGACGTGGCTAGTACGACAGACGCGCTAATGCTTAATTTTTAAATTTTTATTAATTTAAAAGTACATGGCCACATATAACCAGCGGCTACCGTATCAGAGCAGTTCTAGAACACTGTAGCAAGTAAGTGCGGCTTACGGGCCAACCCAGGGTAACAGAGCCGCTGCCTAGAGAAGGATGCCGAGGCCACATCAGTGATCAGTGGGCAAGACCTGCCGTGTCGGCGGTGGGAGCCCAACCACGGGCTTCCGCCCCTGCTCAACCCACCCCAGGCGTGAAGGTTCCAGCGGGTTCGACAGACCAGCTCTCCACCTGTGAGGGTCGCTGGTGGTTTGGGTTTGCTCCCCTATGCCTCCTCCCCGTGGAGCAGTAAATCTCACCAGTGCTTTTCCCAAATGCAGCTCCCACCTTCCTTTACTCTCTGGGCCTCTGCTCGGCCCCACCCCAGTTCTGGCTGGGCTCCCGACCCCAGTCCCTCCCACGCGAGGGATGAGCGCCGGGCGCTCTGGGAAGGACCTGCCACGTGTCCCTCTCCACCTCTGCACTCAGCCCTCCCTAACCCACCCCTGCCCTCACCGCCTACTGTCTTTGAGGAGAAGTGATAAGTGTTCCTCAGGAGCCGTCTGGTTGCCAGCTTTCGCTGGACTCCCCAGCTTGAGGCCCTTGTCCTACAGGACCCACCATCGTCACCGCTGGAGGGCCCCTCCAGAGTGTGCAAATGCTGGCCCAGCCCAGGAAGCCTGCCAGACACACAGGTAGGGCACAGGATGAGATGTGTCCCCTCAACTCTCCTCATGGATGTCGGTAAGAAAGACTCTCCACCCCCCACCAAACCTGTGCTCTCACCATCCTCTCCTCTCGACGGCCTCCCGGCCCAAATCCCGACAGCCATCGTGGACTCTCCACTCTCCCCCCTCCCATGCCACTCAGCAGTGAATCCTGTTAGCTCTACCTTCAAAAAACACCTGGAATCATTCCTTTCATCACCTCCATCCTGGTCTGAGCCACTATCCTCTCTCCCGAAAATGACTGCATCACTTCAAATTGGTCTCCCTGCTTCCACTGCTCTCTCTTCTCCACCAGCAGCCACACTGATCTTTTAAAACCTCCCACCCTCCAATGCCTCCGGGGAAAAGCCATGGTCCTTACAAGGCCCTGCAGGACCTGACACCCACCACCTCCCTGCCTCACCTCCCTCTTGAGCCCTGTGTTGTATCTTTCCGTTTTCCAAGGCAGTCAGAAATACAAGTTTTTATAGAGAACGCCCAAATTTCTAAGTATTAGAAATGTTTCAAACTCCGGACAGGTCAAAGGAAGCAGATCCCCACAGGCCGGGTGTGGTCCAGAGACTACCCAACAGAAGTAGGGTAGGTCGGCTGGGGTGGGGTGGGGGGGCGCGCCAACTCTTCTCCGCTGGGTTTTCGGAGATGATTCAAGGAGATAATCCAGTAAAAACGCAGCCCAGGGCTCCACACGAAGTAACTGTCTGATAAACTACCCCCTGACGAAACCAAACGTCAGTCCTCTGGCCAGAGAGAGGGCGGGACGCTCCACAATCCCGGCCACACTGGTCAGGGACAGCAGTCGCTAAAACCGGGGGTACACATGCTGCGGGGGGGATGTGGCTCTGACCCCCCAGGGCCCAGGAGGGCCGCAGCTCGGAAGCCACACAGCCCAGACACAGTCCTGTCACCACCAGCAGCGCCTGGGGCTACCTGATGCAGCAGACGCCCTCCCACCGCCAGGAGCCCTCCAAGGCTCTGGAACAACCTGTCCTCTGTGGGCTCATCACCTGCGTTATCTAAAACGTGGCTTGGTTCTGCTAAATCCTGAAACGCTCGAATGAGGAACATTTTGTGAAATCCAGGAGGTGGGGGCTGGAACCCACAGAAGCACGAATCCCTGCTTCACGCCACGGGAAATTAGCCTTCTGGCTTTTCTCAAACCAAGATGCGCTCGAGGCTAAAATACAACTTAAAAATATCAGATACACTGGCGAGTGGGTCCATGAGGACGTTAAGGTAGCAAGAAGATTTCGAGGCCCGTGTCGGGGAGCGGGGCCCTCTGTGGCTGTCTAGTGGACGACGGGCCTGTCCCACCCACACCAGGTGCTGACGGTGCAAGAGCCTGGCCCCAGGCCCCCACTCGAGGAGCAAGACGCAGAGCCGCCACGGCTCAGTGGGGCCATGTTCGTCCCACTCCACACCTGCCTCCCCTCCCCCCGTGGCTCCCCAGGAGGCAGGTCCCCAGCCCCGATCTCACTGTTGCCAGGACAAGAGCGGACACTTTAAGGATGGACACCAGAAGCCCGACCCCAGGGCAAGACGTAGCTGGTCTCTGTGTGTGTGTCTTTCTCGCTCTGTGTCTGTGTGTCTGTCTCTCTGTGTGAAGGCTGTGTGACTTTCCTCTCCCCCACCAACCTCTCGTGAGAACAGGGTGCAGGGGTGAGATTACTCTCTGCCTCACCCTCGGGGCCAAAGGCGTGGGCAGAAGTCAGCGAGGAGGGCCACTCAAGAAGACAAGGAACAGCTGACCTTATGAAAGGACAGCACTCCCGAGTCCCAAGTTCTGGGGCTCCCAGGGGAGAAGTCTGTGACTCTCATGGTAATGGATGGTTCTTCCTTCCAAGACCTCAAGGGCAGAAGGCCACCCACCTGGGGAAAGACTCCAGCATGAAGAAGAAACATCATCCCCCGGTCATGGTGACCCTGGGTATTGGGTTTAAGTAGAAGGAAAGGCAGAGAGAAGGGGCTCTTCTGTCCTGCACATCCCCCCAGGAGCTACATGGAAAACCACCCAGACAAAGAGGACCTGGCCCTCACTGAGGCCTTCGGATGCTTCTCTGACCTAGAATCAACTCTGCACAGTCAGCCGTCGGCTCTCCCTCCTCACCTCTGACGGGGACTGGGGGCAGCCCTCTCTTCCCTGAAAAAGGACAGGCCAGCCCGTCTAATAGAATGCAGTTTAAAGGAAGCACTGGCCTCTGCCACAGCCTTTCATCCCTCCATCCCCCCCGGCGTCCTCCTTCAACCACGGCCCCCTCCCTGGGAAGTTAATTCTGAGTGTGAGATCCAGAGCAGCTCAGAATTCTGTCGTTTGTACCTGGTGACAGGTATGTGCTGCGCGGATTTCCCGTCGGCCCGCTGTTGCCAGGCCGCAGTTGGGGCACTTAGCAACCCTCGAGGTCCCCAACTACACCCTGGAGTATGGCACATGCGAATAAAGAAAAACGACGCCAGTTCTCCAGACCTCTGGGCTCCCTGCTCTACCCTAACAAGCCCCTGGAGCTGGGGAGGCTAGAGAGAGGCCCCAAGTCCCCCCTGATGGCCCCATATCACAGGCAGATGCCGGGGACTGCCTACAAAGTGAGACAGGCACTCAGCAGAACCAAAGTGCCCCGTGCCCGCCAGGGCCACTGTCCCCAAGCCTCAGCTCCCCGAGGCCCTCAGAGTGGTTGGGCCTGTGGGCAGGAGACTGGAGTCAGGGAAGCTGCTGCAGCCAGATGACCGGAATCTGAGACCTCCATCCCACTTCTCTTCACCACGCAGACAAGCCCACCTCGGTGCCCAAGCCAAAGCGGAAGCCTGAGTGCCAAGGCCCGGGGCTGCCTTGCACCTTCCCAGGGGACGAGGGCTGGCGGCCCACCTGTCGGGAGTCGCCTGCCTTTATCAGCAGGACGTTGGTCATCTTGGCGAAGGAGAGTACAACCTCCCAGGTGACAGGCGCAAGGAAAACAGAAGCAGAGGACCCGGGATGGGATCCCTTCAGCCCGTCTGAGGAAGGGGAGGAGGCCCGGAGAGGAGACCCCCGTCCCACTGGAGGCTGCCCAGCCGCCAGGGCAGGCCCTCCCCTCAGCGCACACGCCGCTTCCTCCCCAGGCAGCTTGGAAACAAGATAAATACACGCCGACAAAATACAAAGTGAGACACGAATGATGATATAACTAAACTCTGAAACGAAGCGTCCTCTGCAGAGGATATACTGAGCATTTTTTGAATTGGGAATTTCTTACAAAGACATTTAAACACTGTGGGTGGCCACAGGGGCACTGACCTCAGACAACTCCTCACACAGGAGCCACGACCAAACCAGCTTCGAGGACTTTCTGTAGTCCTTTCTAGCATTTTCCCGTCTACGATCTCATTTTTATTCTCACCAGAAGTCCTCACAGGAGGACAGCCAAATGGGACTGCTGACCTCTCCTCCTCCTCTGCACTCAGCCGGCCTTCCCGGGATGTCAAGTCTGCCCCACTGCCCAGGGAGGGAGCAAGCTGGGTCTCATCCTACCTGTGGCCCTTCCTCTAGCCAGTGTCCCCAGGGCATGAGCCACGAAAGGGCTTCATGTTATTTAGACTCATCTCAATGTTCTTACTTCAAATGATTTCTGGACAACTCCATGACAATGGCATTATCTTTAATCTCACTTTTGCAGAAAACTGAACTGAAGACCAGTCAGGCAGAGTGCCAACATCACACGGTGAGGAGGTGGGAAAGCCGGGTCTCACTGTTGCCCAGAAAATGCTGGAGGAAGCAATGGATGCAAATCCCAGGTCCAAGCTCACCAGCAGGACTTGCCTCTGGTGCAGGCTTCAGACCCAGGAGTCGGTCCCAGGGAGAGGCGCGCGCACAGGACGGTGGGTGTGTGCAAGGATCTCCGGCCTCGGTCCTCACTGGCAAGGAAAGGCACCTGCTGCTCGGGGCTGACCCAATGCTCACCCAGTGCCTTTCTGTGTGGTTTTAAAGATCAGGCTTGGGTATGGGGTTTTTTTTGGAGTGATGAACACGTTTTGGAACTAGAGGTGGTTGCCTGCACAGCATCGGGAAGGTACTCGGTGGCACCCTTTCATATGGTTAACTCGACGTTATAAGAATTTCACCTCCATAAAAGGAAAAAAGGGAAAAAAAGCAAACATGGAAGGTTCTAAAACCTTCTTTAGCTGAGAACACAATTTATCATGATGTCGTTTTTAAAATTATTTTTAAAAGAAACACCCAAAGGATGGAGGTTTGGGTGGTCTCTTCTAGACTTCTCCCTATCTTCAGACTTTTATCCAACAACAACAGTCCGACAGGAGACAGCCCAGGCGCCTCGCCTTGTAGGCGCAGGCACCGGGCAAAACACCCTCTACATTCGGCCCCCACAGTCACCACATGACGCAGGCGTCCAGACTCAAAGATCTGCTTCTTAGCTGCTATTCTTAACAGCTATCTATGAGAATAAGGTGTTACTTCTATAATCAGGATAACATGGTGAGGACGCTCTCAAAACACCGAAGAAGAACAAAAAAAGACTTGCAGGAATAATCCTCTATCGGTATTTTTTTCTTGATACTTGTCTGCGTTTACCAAATACCGTACAACGTGTGCTAAAAAATACAAACAAGAAAACCTCTCCCAAGCCTCAGCCTACCTGGCTGTGACTTGAGCCAAACGAGTAAGCAGCAGGAAAGAGCTCACAGGATGCCACTACCTCTGTGGGACCTCCGCCCCGCCCCTGGGGTTTCCAAACAGGCATTTTTAGAGGGGCAGCAGGGTTCCATATCAAAGAAGCATTTTCTCAGTAAACAAGGGAATTTAACTGCCTAAGTGCATTCTCGTTCATTGCCGGGAGGAGTATAAATTCTTTGCACCTCTACGAGAGATGATGCGGTAATATTTCTCAACAATGTATGTGCGTGGTTTCTCAAAAAATGAGAACTACTACCTAGACCTACCACATGACCCAGCAATTCTACATCTGCGTATATACCCCGAAGAATCGAGAGCAGAGTCAAACAGGTCCCTGTCTACCCGTGTTCACAGCAGCACGATTCACCACAGCTGGGAGGTGGACACAACCCAAGTGTGCATCCACAAATGCAGGCAATGGAGTATTATTGCACCTTGAAAAGGAAGTCCCGCCACGTGCTGCACCACAGGTGAACTCCGAAGACATTGTGCGAAGCACAAGAAGCCAGCTGCAGAAGGACGTGATTCCACTGACATGAGGTTCCAAGGAAAGGGAAACTCAGAGATAGAAAGTAGGGTGGTGGCGGCCAGGGCCAGAGGAAAGGAGAATGGGGGGCTAGTGTTTCGTGGCCACAGAGTTTCAGTCTGAGATGATGAAAAAATCCTGGAAATGAACAGTGGTGAAGGTTGCACACGATACCGTGAACTGAATGACACTGAACCGTACACTTAGGAGCCCAGTTAAAGAAACGTTACTTCTCGATCGCGGAATACAATACAGTCGTTAACAAAGGATGAGGCGGTATCATGTCACCTTAGAGCCGTCTCAAAGACAGCAGGTGAAAGATCTGGGGCAGAAGAGAGGGTATACTACCTGCATACGTGTGCAAAGTCTGTGTCCCAGATTTGGAAGTAACTGGAATCCTGAAAGTGTCCCAAGACATGACAGTGGTGGTCTGAGGGGCGGCCAAGTGGACGGCCATGCAGGGAACCTTACTTTCCACGGTATAACCTTTTCACACCTTCATAATTTTATACCACGTACACTGTAAGCTACTTAAAAATTAACTTCAAGACATTGAAGATAATGTCCAACCTCTGCTTCTTGCTATTATAGAGGAGATTTGCACCAGACCAACACTTCAGCCAGGACCAACCATAAACGCTGGATAAGACAGCTATCTGAGGACCATGGGAAACCACGCAGGGAGCTAGGACGAGAAGGGACAAGGTCTCTGAGGGCAGGGAAACACATTTCAGTGAGCCCGACACACTCGGCCATGTTTTGCCCTTGAGGCCAGGGTTCAGAGGCCGGCCAGAGAGCAAGGCTATACGCTTTCAAGGGGCCGGAGAGACAAAGATCGGTGAGCAAGGATTCCAAGGCAGAGCAGAGGGGTGAGGTCCTAGAGAGGAGAGAACCTTTCTCTCCACACACCCCCTCGACGTGTCTGCCGACCCCCAAGCTACAGGAGGCGAGAGAGACCAAGAACTCAAGCAGAAAGTGACAGCGGAGAGGCTAAAATCGAAGGGGAGTGTGGGCAGTCTCCTAGTGCTGGGAATTCAGGGTCCCTCAAGAAGGGGACCAGCCTTTGAGTTAAAACCCCTGAAGGACTATTTCCTAAGAGGAGGCACAAGAGAAACCAGCTCTCAGACTAAAACCCAGCCCTAAATCTTCTCGACCCCACAGTGGATCAAGGTGAACTGAAGAGAAGTAAATCCTCTCTGGAGACACACATCCACCAGAGCTGCTACTATTCTCCGTACACGACATTCAGCCTTTAATTTATCCAGCATTTTTTTTTTAAAAAGGCCAAGATATCATGAGATGGCAAAAGTCAATAGAGAAAAACCAAAAGTCAATAGGGAAAAGCAGACCCATTGATACATCAGATACTGCAGCTGTCAGAGCCTTTAAAATGTTTCATATGTTCCAAAGAATAGATGACAACGTGGAGAACTTAACCAGAGTACTGGAATCTGTTTTGTTTTGTTTTTAAATCAAGTGGAAATTCTAGAAGTGAAAAAATGGTGAAATTAAGGATTCCACAGATGAACTCAAGCACTGATTTAACAAAGCAGGTAAGAGGATTAGTAACATGGAAGTTAGGTCAGTAAAAATATCCAGTCTGAAGCCCAGAAAAAAAAAAAAAAAAAAAAAAGGCGGGGGAGATTCAGGAAAAAAAAAAAAAACAACAAAAACAGATTTATGGAACATGGTAAAAATGTCTAATAAGGACATGTAGAGTCCTGGAAGGGAAGGATGGAATGAAGCAGAAGGATACTGGCTGAAAATTTCAAAACTGATGAAAGACATCAAACCATCAATTCAAAGAGCTCTTCAGATACCAGGCAGATACCAGGGATTGCCAAAATCCCACAAACTCTTTGCAGAGTAACTGCAAAGAAAAGTGCTACGCACATCATTATGAAACCGTGGACACCAAAGACAAACTATAAAAGCAACCAGAGGAAAAACTACTCATTTCTTTAGAAGGAGCAGCAGTATGTCTGACAGCTGGAATTTCAACAAAAATAGTAGAAGCCACAGGATCTCAGGAGACGCCTTCAAAGGGCTCAGAGTAAAGCAGAGTCAACCTAGAATTCTCCCTCCGACAACACGTGAACTTCAAAACTGAAAGCACAATAAACATATTTCCAGGCAATTAGAAATGGAGAGAACTTACCACCAACAGACCTTCATGAAAAGTGACACTAAAGGGAATTCTTCAAGAAGATGGAAGCACAGAAATGAAGGGATAGCGAGCATCGGAGAGGGCAGACGGGAGCAAGTGTACGCACTGGCTATTCGCTGCGGAAGACTGCAAACATACCGTCTTACGGGTCTTCAAATACGTGTTAACGTACATTACAATCGCCCGAAAGTCTGGGGGAGAGGGAATTGAGCATTGTGAGGTCCTGCACTGTGACCGAAAAGGTAAAAGTACTGACTTGGGGTAGATGCAAATGCATCATGATCGACACGTATCGACATTATTTCATTGTTGAAAGATATTTTGATGTAAATAAATAAAATCTTTAAAAAAAAAAGGGGGGGAGGCGCCTGGGTGGCTCAGTCGTTAAGCGTCTGCCTTCGGCTCAGGTCATGATCCCAGGGTCCTGGGATCGAGCCCCGCATCGGGCTCCCTGCTTGGCGGGAAGCCTGCTTCTCCCTCTCCCACTCCCCCTGCTTGTTCCTGCTCTCACTATGTCTCTCTCTGTCAAATAAATAAATAAAATCTTTAAAAAAAAAAAGAAAGATATTTTGATGCATTTTGCAAAATACATGTTGTCCTTAAGTGCATCAGAATCATTAAAAAATGCAAGGTCAAAAATCAAGTTCCGACAAATTTCAAAGGACTGAAGTCGTACAGAGTATGTTCTCCGACTACAGAAGTAAACTAAAAATCAATAATGAAAAGATGACCTTAAAAATTCCCTGGATGTTTGCAAATTAATTAATGTACACTCAACCTGTGGATCAAAGATAACTCGATGGAAATTAGGACATATCAAAATTTATAGAAGAAAGCAAAAAGCAAGTGATGAGGGAAATCCATAGCATCGGGTGCATGTTTTAGTAAAGAAAAATGCTAAAATTAGTTAGCTAAATTCCATCTCGAGAAGGTAAAAAAAGAACATGATGTTAACCCTGAAGAAAGTAAAAGAAAATCAAAGTCAAAAACAACAAATTATGGAAGTGTACAAAGAGAGCAACAAAAAGGTGGTTCACTGAAAAGGCTCAAACTTTAATAAACCTCAGCAAGACAGATTAAGGACAAATAAACAGAAGGCACAAACTACCAATACCAGTAATGAAAAAGGAACATTGCTGGGGCGCCTGGGTGGCTCAGTCGTTAAGCATCTGCCTTCAGCTCAGGTCGTGATCTCAGAGTCCTGGGATCGAGCCCTGCATCGGGCTCCCTGCTCGGCAGGAAGCCTGCTTCTCCCTCTCCCACTCCCCCAGCTTGTGTTCCCTCTCTCGCTGTGTCTCTCTCTGTCAAATAAATAAATAAAAATCTTTAAAAAAAGAAAAAGAAAAAGGAATATTGCCACAAATCCCACAAACAAGATAAGAAGAGGATAAACATGTAAAAAATGTGACATTTATATGAAATGGATAAGTTCCTGAAAAAACAAAAACGTTCTATAACTTATACAAAAAAACCAAAAAACCAAAAACCTTGTACTTGTGAAGGAAACTGAATCTCATAAAGAAAACTCCTGAGCCCTAGGGCCTCATTAGGGAGTCCTTCTAATCCTGTAAAGAACCTGTGTGTTCTTCAAGCTCTCCCGGGTTAGAAAAAGGAAACACTTCTCAAATTAGTTCCTAAGTCCAGCACAACCACGATGCCCAAACCTGCCAAGGACATGGGGAGAAAGTAAAAATGCAAGCAGATCCCCCTCACGCACACAGTCACCAGAGTCCTAAGGAAAACACGAGCAAACTGCAGGGCACAGTGGTGCTGGTGGGCTGCAGAATTCCGCCCCTCCTGTTGGTAACAGGGCTTTTCTCCTTTCCAAAGGGATTCACTCAAATTATCCCATTTTCGCCAAAGGTTTTATTCTCAGGTACACTTTACACATAGGGAAACTGAGTGAGGCCCAAAGAGGTGAAGATGCTGTCCCAAGGTCACACTCCGGCTAGAGCTGGGCGAGACAAATGCATTCCACGTGATGGGTATTTACAGGCACCTGCGGCGCCCCAGCTCGGCCCGGGGATGTACATTTGTGCCTCTCCTGCCCCCAGCACCTCCCTTCTGCCTCCCTGGACCTCTCGCCCCTGGAGCCAGTCCGCTCTGCTGCTGCGGCCCTGGGCAGGCCCCACGGTGGAGCCGCAGGGTGCCCCAGACCGGGTGCAGCGCCCCCTGGCGGCGACGTAGCACACGGGCGTCCTGGAGCATACCGCAGGGGCCCTCTCCGCCAGGATGGGGGCTCCCCACGCTGACCCTGCCCCGAGGGGGCATCAGAAAATGCCCAAGCCCTGCGTGGCCCGTGCACGCAGCCTGATCATCAGCATGTCCAAGCTCTACAGTCTACGAAGCCCTTCCGCCTGTGTTTCTACCTGCAGGGAACCCCACAAGCCAAGTTCAGTACTCCTGCTTTGCAGACGAGGAAGGCGAGGCTGGGAGAGGTGGGCAGCTTGTCTAAATTATCTATGCAGAGAATAAGAGATCCAGGGGAGACGCAGGACCTTCCCCACCACTCCAGGAGGCCCCTACCCCAAGCACTGTCGATGTGACAGAAGATGTCCTGGGTTATGCCAATTATATGCTGTGAGACAGACAAGGTTGACAGGGATGCTGAAAACTGCACAAATACTAGAGAAAAAAGAACTCCTGACCTAGCTGAGCAGGGACACAGGCATTTTTTAACATAGAGAACCCAGAGGGATGCCTCCACAGTGGGAGACGTAAGATGCAAAGAGAAACAAGACAGCATAAAAAAACAGAAACTGAAGAACACCTTTCAAGAGACTCTATAAAGCGAGTAAAGTGGGATTCTTTACATACATTCAAGCAGGAGCAGCTCCTGGGTAACCACGGGATACAGGGATGGGGAAAAGGAGACAAATACAATGAGCCGCTAAGCTTGAACTTGGCCCTTTGTGGCAATGGAGGCTGGGGAGTTTCCCCTTCTAAAACCTGCTTTCTGAAGAAGCTGGGTCCAAGGCCCAGCTCAGAAGCTTCTAGCTCTCCTTGGTAAACAGAGAAAACACATCCTCAGGACTTAGCAAATGACTCAGTGTGACCCTTTGAAGAGCACCGTCTAGAGAAGGTGAGGCCTGCCAATGGGGCTCCTTGGCAGGCCTTCTAGAGTGGCCCCCAAAAACTATGGCTCTGTCCACCTGAGTGGGTCTGTGAAAACAGCAATTTCAGTGAATCCAGAGCCAAGAGCAGCACCTGAACCCAGGATGACATGGTTCCCAGCACAGAGAATCCTGTATTTTCAACCTATTGAGTTTGTTTGTTAGGGGGAAATAAACCTATGGATAACAGGAAGTTGGCAGATGTAATTTCTACAGACCTTTGAAAGGCATTTGAGATGAATCCAAACCAGAAACTATTTAAAAGACTGAATCACATGAGAACCGGGTGGATCGGGCTGGAATAAAGCCAGTAAACAGCAGGGACAGTACGCGCTTCTGTCCGTGGAAAAATGTAAACAGCGGGGTCCCCGGGGTTTGGGCTGGTTTTACTTCTTCATCAATGACTTAGAAGGAGAAGGAAGTAGGAACCTGCCCCGAGCATGAAGGAAGTAGGAACCTGCCCCGAGCATGAAGGAAGTAGGAACCTGCCCCGAGCGTGAAGGAAACTTAGCACCTTGGGTGGAGGGGAGCGGGCTGGGGGTCCTCACCGGGAAGGCCCCCGCTACGGCTGGGCCCACCGCGGCTGCAGAGACCCAGCGCCGGGCCCGTGGCAGGTGCGCAGGGCCAGTGGGCCGCAGAACCAGAAAGGTGGGCAGAGGAGGGTGGACCTGAAGTGATGCCCGCGGGGAAAAAGCATTCAAAATAAACACACAGAACTTTTTAGCCTGAGAGAGGAACACAGGGAGTTACTGGTGACTGCTTGGATCAGCGTAGTTCTTTAAAAAGTTTTAAATTACAGGGGGAAACAAAACAAAACAGAAGGAGGGGAGGTTTAGGTCAAGCACAGAGGAAGAGAGAGGAGGGAGTTTCCGGCGAGAGAAGCTCCCTGAAGTCAGGAGGAACCCTCTGAGGGCGAGAGGCCCAGCAGACAGCCAACACCTGACCCTGGCAGTGAACTCCAAACCCGGGGGGGCTGCCGCACTGGCCCCCACACCCCCAGCCCCTCTCTAGCCACGGCCCCCGGCCCGGGGCCCAGACTGCCCTGGGGCCACCCTGAAAGAGCCTCACCTGCTGCTGGCTCTGCTCTTCCAGGTTCATCTTCACCTCCAGCGACTGGCGGGCCTCCAGGAAGGCCTTGCGGTGCTTGCGGTCCGCCATGTAGTAGGACATGATGCCCACGGTGATGGTGCACAGGTAGAGAAAGACGTTGGCCAGGATCTGTGCCCCGAGGAGGAGAGAAAAGGACAATGAGGAAGGCACGTGCTCAGGAGGAGGGACGGAGAAGGGGGGCACAAGGCGGTAACGAAAATCAAACCCCGGGCTGCATGGTGTCCAGGGAGGGCCCCGGCGAGCCTCTGCCCTCGATGGGGTATTTAGGTCCCTGGAGCAGATCCTGCCCCACTTACCACAGGAGGGTGAGGCCCGCGCCTGGAAGGCTGGTTGAGTTGAGGGGCTGTTCTCCCCGCTTGCTTCACACCACAGCTAAACTGGCCAATCCCGTCCACCTGTGTGGCCTGAGCAGTCCCTCTGCTACCCAATTCATTCATTCATTCATTCATTCACTCACTCACTCATTTGTTCAACCACCACTTACTGAGGACCTATTAGTTACCCTTAGCTGCTGTGCTGATGAGCGGGGCAGGAGAGCGTACAAATCCCAGACCCACTAGCCAGGAGCGCATGAAAGCTGCAGGCTGTGTGGAAGGTCCCAGGGGCCATGCAGCAGTCCTGCGCTGACCCGAGTCATCACACCGCCTTACACGTGGTGCTGCAGGGATTCACACGCACCCCCTCAGCCAACCCACCTGCCAGTACCAGTACCCAGGTCCCACGAGGAAGCTACGGGAAGGGGAAAGGGCAGCTGTGGGGACCAGACATCTGTTTTGCAAGCTCAGGACAGTGGCACAAAGGCCTTCTTGGGCACTGAGAGTCTGTTCCTCCATCCTTAGCCTCCTGGAGGCTCCCCTAGCTGTCTATAGTCCCCAGCTGGCTTCCACAGGCTGCTGGGACCACAGACCTGACCGCCTCCTGCCACAGGTGACCTTGGATATGGACCCGAACATCCAAACCACATCAGATTTCCTGGTGCTTGTTGCTAATGGCCACAGTCTTTGACCCTGACTGGGTCCCATTTGGGGCTGGACCAGGTTCTAGCTTCTCCCGCTTCTCCAGCTCCTATGAGGCCCATTTCCAGGTCCGGCCCCTCCCATTCCCGGAGGCCAGCTCACACCCTCCCCACCTTGGTTCCCTGAGGTCCCACCAGGGGAGGCCAGACCCCTCCTCTGAAGGGTGTGGTTTAGGCAGAAGTTTGTAGTTGAGATGTGGGTAGGGAGGCAGAAGAGTTCTTCATTTCTAGACCTACAGAAAGAAAATGTTCTCCTAGAAAAGTATAATGTTTTCTGAATAGGTGAAAAATGCAGGGAAGTCAATTTTAGATATTCGAACAAGATGGTTTAATAGACAATAAGAGAGGTTAACTCTGACGTGAATTTTCTGGGGACTCTCAGTTACACCATATTCTTCTCTAATTCTGTGTGATCAGGGCTGATCAATGCTGACCCACCACCCCCAGCAGAAAGTTCCTGCAGGCCTGGGCGCTCAGCAAAGGCCCGCTGAATAATGAATTTGTTAGTAGGTGAGGTGTGTCTTGATACTGGTCATTGAATGCAGATTTCACAAGCTCCTCTGATGGCTGGTTCCAGCAACTAACCTCATTGTGTTCTTGGGTCTGGGTAGCCCCGACTGCCTACACCATTCATGCGGCAAGGGGCAACTTCAAAATCCCATGGGACATCTCTTGCACTTCTGCTTGGGCATGATAGGCCATTCCCACCTGAGCAGTCAGTATCCTCATGGCCTCAGGCCACTTATTAAATACCTGATAGTCCAAAGAGCTGCCAATTTATGTCGAGTCAAAGCAAATCACACAGACCACGCTGAGTCTGAAAGCCAGTCTTGGCCTGAGGTCCAGGAACTTCTACCAGCCCAGAGGCCACCTCCCTTTGGGGACTGCATAGCCTTGGAAATCTGCCCGGCCCCAAGTTCATGGTATAGGAAGCTAGTCGACAAGGTCAGGGTGTACCTCACGCATCCTCATTGAGCAGTTGCACTTTGCCAAAGCTCATGCGGGGTCCAAATACAGCAGTCACCAAGGCCGAGGGTCTCTGGCCTTATGGGGCTCTGGGTCCTGGAGGTCAAGGGAATAGCTGCACATTGAGGAGTCGCATGTCTGGGCCCCATACCTACCAGTGTCCACGACTCCCAACCAGAGGCTCCCGACAAGGCAAGCTGCCCTGGGGCCACAGGCCCATCTCTGGCCCTGGCCACAACCAGCCTGGGCTGCCACACCGGGCCAGGGACAGAGCTTCACGCTCAGGGGTCTCCTTACCCCACAACAGGCCCTGCCTGACCACCTGGCGGGGTGGACGGAACAGACTCTGTAAAGCGTACAGTGCTAAGACTCTGTCAGGCTTACTGCTGTCATGATCCACCAGGCTGCCCGCCTAAGAAAACCACCTCTGCTCTGCAGTCAGTCAGAGAGCAGCTACAGTGGGAAAGCGTCAGACCAACCTCCACCAAAAGTAGTTCTCCGAGGAGAAGAGGATTCAGGTTCGGCTTGCACCTGGAGACCATTTCTATGGGGCAGCACTCCCTTCCTTGAACTATGCCTATTTCAAAATAAGCTCCCCTTTTGCCTTCTACTTGGAGGTGCAGAAAACAGGTACAGGAGGCGGCCTGGCCTGTGGCGCTGCCCCTCACTGGATGGGCAACCTGGTAGATTAGTAATTTCTCTGAGCCCCTCCTTCACCATCTGTGAACTGAGAGCTAACTCCTCTCCAAGGTCCCTGCAGTCCTGACCCCTCACCTCAGAGGGTGAAGGTTGGGCCTGGAGAGGACCCCTCGGAAAGGCTGGAGGGAAGGCAAGGATGGGTCGGTCACACTGCCTCCTGTTCCCTGAGCACCCCAAATTACAGAGGGCGTTGCCCACCCCTTCCTGACCTGCGCTCTCAGCTCACGTGTGCAGGGAGGAGCCAAATGGCCACTACTGGGCCACATGCTAGAGACTCATGTGGGTCCTGCAAGTCCCTCCCATGCCAGGGAATTCTCCCTCTGCCTCCCAGAGAGCTTATTCCTTTCTAGAGAATTCTCCTAGGAGCCCCAGGCTGTGGGATTCTCAGAGCTCCCTTAATTCTCTAAACTTGCCTCGACTAAAGAAAGGGTCCTCAGGGTTGCTGTTGCTCTGTTCCTGCCCAACCCCTCTGTTCCACGCAGCCATAGCTCCACAGCTTGGAAGGAGCTCAGCAATCCCCCTGTGCCAGGCAGCAAGCGGCGGGAGGATTAGCCAGGGCCCTACAGGTGACTCTCCGCCTCCAAGTCCAGGGCACAAATCTGACCGGGCGATGCTGCTAAGCCAAGGAGACCTCCATCCAGGAAGCCAGGGTCCACTAGCGGGGAGGCAGGTTTGGGAGCGAGGAGTTGCTCTGCTCATGGGAGAGGCTCTCAACATGCAAAACACACAGCAACACGGCCACCTGGGTGATGGTCGCCTGGCCGGCTCCACCCCTGGGGGGGCTCAGGTGATGGGGGGGTGGGCAGTGGTCTCCAGTGCTCCCGGCCAACCCCAACCCCCCTATGTGGCCTCTCCTCCCAGCCTTAGTTCCTTGCCTGGGATATCACCTCACATCACCTTAGGTCCTGGACACAGGCACATGCTTGACCTGCCTCATCTTGTTTAATCCACTCAAGACCGGCCGTGTTGTTCCGATTTTACAGGAGAAGGAACGGAGATAGAGCGAGGGCTCAGAACCAGGGGACAGGGTTGCTCCCACGCTCATCTCTTCTATTCCATGACGCAGGGCCCCATCCTGCAAACACCCCTGGCCTACTTACATATGGTAACCCCACCTCCCCCCAGAAAGGATATGGGACATTTTGAAAACTCAAACTGCCACCCAGATACCTGCCCTCTTGCGGGAGCTGTTCACATTTATATTCCGAAAGAAAGCGGTACATCTACAGGTATGCACAGCGGCATACATAACAGCCGTACCTCTAAGCTCTTAAAATTCAGACATTCCCCATTTCACATTTATAAACATGTCTCACTTTGCAGAATGGATGTGCTCCTCGATATGTGAAAAAAACGAGTTTCACTCCTCGCACGGTGAGTCCAGCACGGTGTCGGCACCGAGGAGTCCACGGTGACTGAGACGCTGTCCCTGCCCCCAGGGCCACTGCAGGCGGGACACGGCCCAGGTCCAGGGAGGACACGGTGGGGTAAGCAGGGAGGCTGTCGTTTCTCTAAAACACATCCGTGAGTCCCGCTTCCCGCTACAGGTTAAGAACTGTAGACCCAGGGACAATGTGAACCCTGGCGAGAGTCTGAACTGTGTCTCTCATGTGACTGGGACAAATGGGTGTCTTCATGCTGCGCCCTGAGCTCTGCTGTCCTGGAGTAAGTTCCTGGGGCTCCCCCCACCCGGGGTAGGGGGGGAGGGTCTCTCTTCTCCCTCCAGGGCTGCCTTCCCTGTCCCCCCCCACCCCAGTTACACCTGGCCCACCCGGCAGGCCCCTCCTCCTCCCCAAGAGCCCCGCTCAGCCCCCCCATTTCCCTCCGCGGGCCCCTGCCTCCTTCCCCTCCCCCGTGCTCCCCAGACCCCCCTGAGGTAGTGCAACCACGTCACAACTCGCCCCTCACCCTGACCCCTTCAGCCTCTGGTCAGCAGAAGAGCAGACCAGAAACCATCCCAGACCTGACCTCCCAGCCTCATGATCTCCCTGGGACCCAGCCCTCAAGTCAATATCGCCTCCGCTGCACCCCAACTCTTTCCCACCCCAGCCTCTGAACAGAGGAACGAGGCTCGGTCACTTTGCTGGGGACTGTGCAGGCCAGGACAGCTGGGGAGACCGTCCCCTGCAGGAAACATCCAGAGGATAAGGCTGAGCCTGCAAAGAGCACAGAGGCCGGATGGGTGGCAGTCACACTGGGTCAGGGAGGTGTCGCACAGCTTCAAGACGACGCGGGTCTCAGAAACAAAGACTGGCTCGGACACGGCACTCAGCGACCCCCGAGCACGGCAGCATGGCAGGAAGGCTTCTCCTCTCCACCACTGTCCACAGTGACCGCCTGGGGGGCGCGCTCCAACGGCAGGGTTCGCACACAGGACACCTGCCCTGGGGAAGCAGCTCCGAAGGCCAGCAGGAGCCCTGATGCGTGG